AAAAAATAAATAAAAAAGAGAAACCGGTGACTATCTGTGAAAGAAAAACAAAGAGCTTTTAGTTTTTATTTCGATTTCAGATCTTTCATCACTCATTTCTTGGTATGAAATGGTCTTCTAACTGAATTATTCTAAAGTTATCTCCTCATCTTCCACATGACATGCATTGTATATGTTTCTCATCTAAATAGCAGTTTTTCCAATCTCATTTATTCTAATGTTATTTTAGCTATTGAGTGCAAAAGGAGAATCCTTTTGTGGGTTGTAAAGTCTAGTTTACGTGCACCCAAGGACATTTCCTTGTTTCTCAGAAATAGCTTTTCATGTCTCTTTAGCAGAAAATATCAATTTAGCTGAGCAAAGAAAAGGGAACATAAATGCAATTTTTTTCCAAAAAATAAATCAAACTAAATCTATTTTATTCGGTCAATTATGTACTCGGTTTGGTTTGATTTACCAAATATAATTTAATATTTGGTTTTATCATTTTTAATACAACCAAAACTATTATTTTTTATGCATTCTAGAAATTTTTCATTCGCGAAATGCTAATTCATATAGAGCCATCGAACCGGCCCAACCAGCAACCAAGGCTGGATGCGTTATATGGACTGACAGCAAACGACCGGATCATTCAATACGACGGTATGAACACGATACCAAGGCAAATCCATGGAAATACCCCTTTATTAACGAAAAAATAATTGTGCATTCATCGCCCGCCAACGCTAAGCAAAGCACCTAATAGGCTATGTGTAATGCGCGTTATATGTAAATACTTGATTAAACAAAGATCAAAGAATAACTTAAAGAACTTGTTATTGAATGAAACTAATTGAATATTGTTGTTTGTATAGAAAAGTAAATTGAAGAAAACATACAACAAGACAGATTTAACTTTGACAAAAAAAGAAGACAGATTTAACTTTGACAAAACAAGTGAAATGTGCATATGCAAATTCAACTAATTGAACTTTATCTCTTTGATCTCTACTAAACTATTTCTTTCTGAGAATATAATTTAGTAAACTTGATTAAACAAAGATCAAAAGATAACTTAAAGAACTTTTATTGAGTGAAACCAATTGATATTGTTGCTTTGTATAGAAAAGTAATGAAGAACAACATATAACAAGTCTTTAAAAACAAGAGAAAGATAGAAGTAATCAAACTCAAGCCTCCGGAGAGCATCACACCTCGAGGAACTTCTTGGTGTTCTGGGCACAAACAATAATAAGTGACTCTCGTCAACTTACTTCTAAGTATTACTATCACACTTTTCTACTACTAACTTTTTCTTCTCTTCTCTGAGTTTTTCTCAAAAATTTCTTAATCTGAATATGAATGTTTTCTTCATTCATTTGGATTACTATTTATAGAAGAGGAGAATGATGTTGGTTGTGATGGTGATTGGTTGGCCAAGAGTTGCTTTAGATGACTTCTCTTGGGAAAAGTCCCGACCTATGCATGGGAAGACATGATTTTCTGGTGAAAGGGCAGCAGTTGACGTCTCCTGGAAACACGACTCGCGCTCGCGAGTTTCAGGGTCGGTTGACGTCTCCTGGAAACACGACTCGCGCTCGCGAGTTTCAGGGTCGCACTCGCGATCTTTGCTTATAAAGTCTCTGCCTCTTCTGGAGTGCTTTTTACGCTCGCGCAGTTTAATGTCGTGCTCGCGACTTATGTTTGATGCCTTCTAAGTCTTCTATCACATAGGTCACGCTCGCGATTTTCAGGTTGCGCTCGCGACTTTGTCAGTTCTTCCTTTGCAGCGCGACTTCATTCGCGTCGCGAATTTCTGCTAGGCAGGTTCTTCCATACTTAGTCAACTTTTGGTCCTCTTTTTCTACAAAAGCAAGCCTTTTCATTCCTTTGCTCATATTGTATTCCTACAATCACTTTAAAACAAAAACAACACGAGAAAACGTAAAATGTAAAAAAACAAACATGCAATCATGCAAATTATGCGATAATAACATAACAAAATTGTCCGCTTTGCGAGGCTATCACATACAAATATTTGACCAGATCCATTCTTGTTTGCGAGGCTATCACATACAACATGCAATCATGCAAATTATGCGATAATAACATAACAAAATTGTCCGCTTTGCGAGGCTATCACATACAAATATTTGACCAGATCCATTCTTGATACTACTATCACCTTATAAGAATAAAAGTAGTGTCGAAGTTTTCTAGTAGCCCATACCATTCCTAAGCAAGTTCTTTCAATCAAGCCATATTTTTTTTCATTTGGAAGAAGCTTTTTGCTCAAGTAATACACTGCCTGCTCAGTACCGGCTTCATCAGCTTGTGCTAACATGGCTCCAATTTCAGCATCTTCCACTGTCAAGCCAGAATTAAGGGTTTCCCTGGCTTTGGTGGGCACAAAATCGAGGGACTTGATAAATATTCTTTGATTTTATCAAAAGCTATTTGGCAGTGATAGTTCCACTTTACTGGTTGATCTTTCCTTAAAAGCTTGAAGATTGGATTACATACTATAGACAACTTTGATATGTAACTGCTAATATACTAAATCTTTCCCAGAACGCTTCTCACTTGCTTTTTTGTCTTGGGCAGCTCCATTTCTTGGATCGCCTTGATCTTGTCTAAATTGATCTTTATTCCTTTAGGTCCCACTATGAGTCCTAGCACTTTCCCAAAAGTCACCACGAACATAGATTTCTTCGGGTTTAGCCGCAGCTTGTATTTTATCACTCTGTCCATGAGCTTTTCCAGGGCTACTGGTTGCTGTTCTGGTGTCTTCGTTATGAAAATCATATCATCAATATGCACCTCTAACTCCTTATGGATCATGTCATGAAATAATGTAGTTGCCATTCTTTGTAAGTAGCCCCGGCGTTCTTTAAGCCCAACGACATCACCCGGTAGCAGAAAGTACCAAATGTTGTCTTGACCTTGTCCAATAATGCCATAAGAATCTGGTTATATCCTGTAAACCCATCCATAATAGAGTAGCATCCCACCACTGCCGCACTGTTGTTTTCCCCGAAATCCCAAAAAAAACCCCGGAAGGATCTCGAAAAACATCTCTCTTGATTGGTTTGTGTTATTTGTTTTTGGAAAAAGGTGATAAAAATCTTTTAAATCTTTTTTTGGATACGCGATGCCGATGAACTCAGTCTTATAAATTATTTGAGTCGCCACCCCCATTTTGGCAATGGGACCGTTTCCAATTTTTATTTTATTAAATGACTCCATTTTAAACCCAATTTTATTTAAGGCCAAATTATTTTAAAAACTGGTCAGGCGTACCAAGTACGATTCTAGGTAACGGAATTAGGTACGTCGGCCCGTTGGAAGTCGACGCCCGAAAAATCAGCCTCTTTTAACCTACGATTTCTAATTGATTTTATTTTAGAAAAGCCAAATTATTTAAATCCATCCCGAATAAATCGAACCGAGTTCCTATGTGGAAAATTAATTAATCGTCCCAAGTAAATACATTTATTGCATCCATTCATAAATTAATTGTCACATCCATCATTCATCCACCATACATATCAAATAAAATTAAAAGACCCGCTCTTGCCGTATGGTTAAAGGCGATGGTTAATGGTTAAAGGCGGGCCACAAGCCGAGTTTAATAATATAGTTAAAAGGAAATAACAAATATTAAATCTCAAAATACCATAATCACAACAGATTAATTGACTTGACTTGATTAAAACTCAATTTGCCCATTATTGATTATTTCCCGGATTAAGTTTAGAAATCTATTTAATGAAATGAAATTAATACAAAATAATAAAAGTAATCTGAGACTGGAAGACAGTCGCGTCACGCGGCTGTTCTATGGAAGAACAGTCATGTGGCGCAGCTCTTATCTTTTATTCTGGGGTTTGTAATAGTTGCGTCACGCTGCTGTTCTATGAAGAACAGTCGCGTGACGGAACTCTGGTTATGGTCCTGTAGACCAGAACAGTTGCGTCACGCAGCTGTTCTATGCTGTTTCTATGAAGAACAGTCGCGTGACGGAACTCCTAGGCACGTGACGAAACTGTTCGTGACTTTTAATTTAAAATACTCAGACATATTGGATTATTTTATTTACAGCGAAACATTACAAAATAGCGCTTTTGTTTACTGGACTGACAAGCAAACGACCGGATTATTCAATACGAGCGGGTATGACACGATAACCAAAGGCAATCCATTTGGAAATACCGCCTTTTTAAACGAAAATAGACACTATGTAACTTTATTTTGCACTGAAACTATGTTATGGACCTCCCTTTTTAAGTGGATTATCCTCGGAAAAAGAATTAATATTTTTTTTATTCTTTTTATTTTAATATAATGTAGCAGTAATAATGTAACATTATTCAATACGACGGTATGAACACGATACCAAGGCAAATCCATGGAAATACCCCTTTATTAACGAAAAATAGACACTATGTAACTTTATTGCACTGAAAAAACTATGTTATGGACCTCCCTTTTTAAGTGGATTATCTCGGAAAAAGAATTAATATTTTTTTTATTCTTTTTATTTTAATAATAATGTAGCAGTAATAATGTAACAATTCAACAGACATTTGATTCACGTAATTTATATAGGTAAAGATTTTAATAATAAAAGTCTAAACAGTTCCTTGCTATATGATTTATATTTGAACAATGTATAGAATTTATTAATCTTACAAAAATAACCACTATTTACATTATATATATTTTTTTGAATTAATACTTTTATATGATAATTTATTTAAAAATATTTAAAATAGTAAATCTCTGTGAGATGTTATTATTAAAATTATATTTAGTATTTTTATTTATATAACATATTAAAATAAAATTGTAATATATTTACCTTAAAAAATAATAAGTTATGAAAATAATTTTGTTCAACCTACTAAAATTTTGTTAAAAATAATCAGCATTATCAGTTAACAGCCATAAGCTAGTGTATCCCACGTGATCGTACGACAGAACGGCACGCTTTCTATCCTCATCGTTAATAGATTGGACGACATGGCAAAGGATTCATTCAATCGCCGTTGAAAGCTAAGGGCACTGGCTTAAACCCTAACAAGGAAGCTCATCAGAAAAACCAGACTTAACTAAACCGAAAATGGGAAAGAGAGACAAAAAACCACTGCAATCATCCTCCTCCGATGAGCTTCTAAACACTCTAGGGGACTTCACTAGCAAGGAAAATTGGGACAAGTTTTTCACTATTCGCGGCAGCGATGATTCATTCGAGTGGTACGCTGAGTGGACTGAGCTCCGACAACCTCTCCTCTCCCTCCTCCTCGACGGAGCTCCATCTTCTGCAGACAATGATTCTATTCCTCCTACTTCTTCGCTGCAACTTCTTGTGCCTGGTTGCGGCAATTCGAGATTATCGGAGCATTTATACGACGCCGGAGTTAAAGATATTACTAATATTGATTTCTCGAAAGTTGTGATTTCCGATATGCTTAGGAGGAATGTTAGAGAACGGCCTGGGATGCGGTGGCGCGTAATGGACATGACTGCCATGCAGGTCCGTTAGGGAAATGTTTACTATTTCTGTGTATTTTCATAACTTCTCGAAACATCTTCACATACTTTAAATTTCATTCTCGTTATCTGTCTTAATCTTATTATTGTTTTACTGACTGTTACCGTGTTTACCAGTTTGCCGATGAGACATTTGATGCTGTTGTTGATAAAGGTGGATTGGATGCTTTGATGGAGCCAGAGCTTGGGCCTATGTTGGGTAGCCAATATTTGACAGAGGTTGCTTGGCATCTTGTTTTGGGTTTTGTGTTTAATAGTGTAGTTTGATTGGTTTTGGAGAAAGATTTTATCTGTTGATTATTGTAGGTGCAAAGAGTTCTGAAATCTGGAGGGAAGTTTATTTGTCTTACACTGGCGGAATCTCATGTTCTGGGTACTATTTGTTTTAAGTCCCAGACTATGTGCACGTTTTGCTTTTTATTTGATAGTCTCTTCAAGCATATTTCGACTTCAAGTTATCTGTTTATGCTAAGATCTTTAATGTTGAAATTTTTCTAATTACTCTGTTCAGGTTTACTTTTCTCTAAGTTTCGGTTTGGCTGGAAAATGAAAGTTGGTGCTGTCCCTCATAAACCATCTACCAAGCCTAGCCTTCGTACCTTTATGGTGGTTGCTGAGAAAGAGATTTCTACTGATTTGCACCAGATAACAACATCGGTTAATCACTGTTTTCTTGATTCCAGCGGAAATCAGGTAGTATTACTTGTTTCCTCCTCTATTCTTATAGATAAGATGTTTCTTTAGCAATCAATTTAGGGGCATACACAACGTTCATGGCATAGTGTAAAAAGATTATACATTCCCTCCATCTTTAATATATTTTTTTTTTTTCTGCAAACCATCGGTATCCCAGACCCTATTACCAAAGACCGCCTAATCCAGTTCGGATTTTAATCACATTTAGGCTCTTCGCCTCTCCCTGCAGGTGCTTTTAGTGGGGATCAAAACCAATAGCTCTTTCCACATGCCCAGCCTGCGTTGCTAACTGAGCGACAATTCTAGGTTAATATTTTAATGCATTGATAGGAAAAAAAAATGTTTTTAGTGAAATATTTTTAGATACAATTGTTAACTTGTAATGGATTGTTCTTAATTATTATCATTAAGCAATTAGAGTCTAATGTTAAAATATTGATTGTCAATGCAATTTACATGGCATTCCAAGCCTTTGGCTATATGAGATTTGCCTTCAACAAATAGATTACGTGTATTTTAATTGCCAAATGAAACTAGCCTTAACTTTTATGTGAACCTCGGCATAGAAGTCTGATGAATGCATGACAGAACTTGGTGTATATATTTTTAGGCTGCTGGTCTGCATGAAGCTCTTGAAAATGAAAACCGGATTCGGAGAGAATATGCCAGTTCTGACATATTATACTCTCTTGAAGATCTGCAACTAGGAGCTAAAGGGGACTTAACAAAGCTTAGCCCAGGACGTCGATTTCAACTCACTTTAGGTGGGCTAGGAGGTTCTTGTTTCACTTACAGAGCTGTACTTCTTGATGCCAGGGATCTTTCTGTCTCATTTTCATATCATTGTGGTGTTTTCATTGTGCCTAAGGTATGGATAGTATTTTTTTTTTTTGGTTCAGATTCAGTGCATGGGAAAACCTTTTACTGGTTTATTTGTCTAAAATTAATGGTTTGTTTCTTGACAACCTGTTTATGAAAATTAAAATGAAAGTGACAGTAAGGACATGGTTACCTAGTACTGTGATAGGTTTGAATTTGATGATCCATTACGGCTTCTGTAATAATAGCTCACAATGAAAGGTGGTACTTGAGCTCAAGTCCTGACCATCTTCAACTTATTTTCAACCATTATTTCACATAATGCTTTTATTCTAGTTGTCGAGTTGTCAAATTTTGGGAACTATTTTTCCTTGACTTCCTGTTCAATCTTCATGCTGAAAAGGATGAAATATCCCCTTGCCTATTCTTGCCCAAAATACAAAGAGGTTGAATTTGTCTCTTAATTTTTTAAGTTATAATGCTCTCTGGAGTCATAATTTTCCATTTTTTGAATTGAAACTGCTACTCACATCCCCAATTTACTTTTGCATATTCCCTTTGCCATCTATTCTTGCTACGTGGCTCACCATATGAACAAACAAAATGGGAACTGTTTTAAACAATGGGTGAAACTTTTCTGTTAAAACATGATGGGTCAACCAAATTAGATCATAAAGGTTAAATGTAATGGGAGAAACACATAGTTACATTGTTTCACTGACATAGAATTGTGATTCCACATATTAATTTGCATTGTTCATCTGATCTCCTTTTGTTGTGTTATTTTTCTCCTTTTGCTTTAACATGTGCATGAAATTTTTTAACATAGGATGCAGTAGGATTAAAATTATGTTGTTTCAGACTCGAGCTCATGAATGGCTGTTCTCTTCAGAAGAAGGTCAGTGGATGGTGGTTGAAAGCTCAAAAGCAGCTCGTTTGATTATGGTACTTTTCTTTCAATAACAAGTTTTTTTCTGTCTGGGATATCTATGTTCCTGAATTGTTATTGAATTGCATCGTCTAATCAATTTATATGCTTAATGAAGGTTTTACTGGACAGCAGCCACATTAATACTAGCATGGATGACATTCAGGTAATATTTCATCCAGTTCTCTCATTAAAAAGTCATCTCTCTCTGAGGTGACAATTGGCAACTATCTCTTATTGTGACTATTTTTTGGTAGTGATATCTAATGCTTGGTAATCTTTCAGAAGGATTTATCTCCTCTGGTTAAACAGTTGGCACCTGGAAAAGATGACAATGGAGCACAAATACCGTATGTTATTAATATTATTCACTCTTTGATAATTTTGCTACTGTGACATCTTAGACAAGATGCATTGAAGTTACTCATCTTGTTTATAAAATGAAATGCATTGTCAATTCATTATTATACTAAACTAAGGTTTTTCTTTGATTCACATCCTAATTTTTGGTTTAATGGGACTTTATTTCTACAGTTTCATGATGGCGAATGATGGAATCAAACAACGAAGTATTGTGCACAAGGTTCAACACTCTCTTGTGATGCTATTTGATTCTCTTTAGTCATGAGAATGTGGTTACCTGGTGAAGTTTGTTATCTTTTTGTTGCTTTTAGCTTCTCTCTAGGAAAAGGTGGAAAACAACTGGAAGTAATGTGAATATAAAAGAACTTTTTTTCTTTACACCACTTGAATTCAACTCTGCTTCATAGATGTCTCGTTTTGCCATTTTGTTAAAGTATTAATAAATGGTTAACCGCTGTTGATGTTTGAATTGCCAAAACATGCCCAATTGATTCTTATCCATCTCAGTTGTTGCTGGCATTTGGTAGGTTACATCTTCATTAACTGGTCCAATAATTGTTGAAGATGTGGTTTATGAAAATGTTGATGGTGATATTAGTCGCTTTTTGCCATCTAAAGATTTGATATTCCGTCGCCTTGTCTTCCAACGAACTGAGGGCTTGGTGCAGTCTGAAGCTCTTCTTAAAGGGGGTGAATATTCCCCTAAAATCACTGAAATAGACAGAAAGAAAACTACTTCATCTTCCAAATCCAAGAGAAGAGGAAATCATAAACGAAATGATGGTACACATGTATTTGATGTTTTTTCCATGAATTACCATGCTTGATGATGTTGCTCAACTTGTTTGCATCAATTTATATTTGACTATTTTTGTTGTCTTTTGGCTTATTTGCCTGTTTGTTTTTTAATTAATTCAATTTCAATATTTGGCTGGTCAAAATAATATATAATTTCAACAGAAAATCTTGCAATAAAAAAATTTGTATTTATAGCATTTTTTTCCTTTCATTTTATTGGATTCATTGGAAATTTGGTTGCTAACTAGTTGGCAGATGCTGTTACTGTCAGATTCTAATGAGAGAAATTGACATTCCATTGACTTCATTTTTTAATTCTATATGTTGTTTTCCTGATGTTTTGATTTGAACTTAGCAGTAGTGGTTCAAATGTATCCATAATCTTTTAGGGATATTGCTCTTGTATTTCATTGCCCAGATAAATTGCTTCACATTTTGTTACTTATAAGCTGGCTTCTTGTTTATTTTTTTTATTATTTTGTTCTCATTATTGTAGAATCAAGCAACCGACTGAAGGTTTATCATGATTATTTGGCTAGTTCTTATCATACGGGTATTATTTCTGGCTTCATGTTGATTTCTTCTTATTTAGAAAGCGTGGCATCAGCTGGGAATATGGTAACCGTTACTAATGCTTTTGTAGTTTTTTCTGCATGCCAAGTGAATTTATCCTGGCCTAGAATATCATGATAGGTCTTGAGATTGCTGAATTTTAGTTTTTTTTTCAGGCTAATGCAGTTGTAATAGGTCTTGGAGCTGGTCTACTTCCAATGTTTCTCCACAGATGTATGCCATTTTTGCATATTGAGGTAACCATAACCTTTGATAACATTCCGAAAGGGAAAAAATATCTTTTATTCCTTGATTAATTAGGGGGTTAATTTGATAATTGTTCAATCCATAGGTGGTGGAGTTAGATCATATGATACTTGATCTTGCCAGGGGCTACTTTGGTTTAACTGAAGATAAACATTTGAAGGTAATTTGCTATAAATTACACTTTTGCCTTTTCATTCTTATCAATTATATTTTGGAAGTTCTATCTTTGCTTAGAAATAGTTAGCACTTGCATCAAGTGTTAGTGTTTAGTCCAGAATGTCTCATATACTTTTCAATTATAAGAGACTCCTTTGCCATTATTCTTAAACTTTCTTCCTCTGACCTTCACTTTGCTATCCTCATGCATTTTAGGATAATTCTCAACGTTTTTTATTCTACTTGGTAAAACTGTACTTACATTTTGTTTGGAAAGGAGAGGAAAGAAAATAATGAGAAATTGTCAATTTTTTTCCATAGTTATTTTCTGCATTTATTTTTGGATATACAGAAAGAAAGAAAATAAATATATATTCCTTTGTTTGGAAAGGGTAAAATTTTAGATGAAAGAAAATGTTGTTATTGGAAATTGATAATTATGCTTTTATTTATTTTTAAACAATAAAATATGATTCTAGTTAGTTTGGGCTATTCCTGTAATTTAATAAAAATAAGTGAAATTTTCAAGTTCCTCCATTATTTTCTTTCTAAATTGGAGAGATTCAAAACATGTGGGCCCGGATGGAAAATTAGTGAAATATTACTTCAATATTTTTCCTCCCTTTCTCAAATAAGAGAAAACATTCCTTAGATATTTTCCATGGTTATTTTCCTTCCTTTAAAAAAAAAAAAAAAAGAAATACTCCTGTCCAAACAAAGGCTTGAAATCCGCTCTATCCTTAAGCACCTGAGCTTAATCTAATGGGTAGTGATCTTTTTTTTTTTTTTTTTTTTTTTTTTTTTTTTTTTTTTTTTTTTTTTTTTTATGGGTAAGTGATCTTTTTTTTTTTTTTTTTATTTTTTTTTTTTTTTTTTTTTTTTTTTGTTCTCCATAGGTTTCTGGCATGTTGCTTTGCCACTTGCCATTTTGCATCCATCAGAATTAGTTAGCATGTACATCGCAAATTGATTGTTAAGATTATTTTATCTATACATTTTTGTATTTTTACCAATTCCTTATTTGAAATTTGGCAGTTTTTTTTTTTTTTTTTTTTTTTTTTTTTTTTTTTTTTTTTTTTTTTTGTTCTCCATGGTTCTGCATGTTTGCTTGCACTTGCATTTTGCATCCATCAGAATTAGTAGCATGTACATCGCAAATGATTGTAGATATTTTTATCTATCATTTTGTATTTTACAATTCTTATTTGAAATTGCAGGTGCACATTGCTGATGGGATTAAGTTTGTTAGAGAGGTTAAACACTTTGGAACAGGTGATGGACTGCCTGTCTTTCAATCAGACAAGGATGCTTCTGGAAGTTCACAGCCATCTTCAAATGGAAGTTGCTTTATGTCTCATGCAGAGGGCGGAATGAGTTGTGGGGTTGATATACTTATTATTGATGTGGACTCTTCAGACTCGAGGTACATGCAGATATTATATTTCATGCAACAGAATCTGAGTATCAAATTATCAGAAAGCATGATTTAATAAATTTCATTATTTGTATTTTGTCTGTACAGCTCTGGAATGACCTGCCCAGCTGCAGATTTTGTGGAGGAGTCTTTTCTTCTGACTGTAAAAGATTCTCTTTCTCAGCATGGTCTCTTTGTAGTTAATTTGGTATCGCGGTCCTCAGCGATTAAAGATATGGTTATTTCAAGAATGAAAACGGTAAGAACAGAGAACTTTTTTTTTTCAACACTTATTCGTTATAGCATATCTCCACTTTTTTTACGCGAGGAATTTTCTTGAATTTTTCATTGGCTATATGCCTTATTTGTTCTCATTAATGTCTGAAACAGCGAATGACATTCTAAAGGAGGGGAATGCAGTAGATATAAGATTATATAAAATTAAATGACTGATCTTATTGTGTTTTAAGGAAACAATCCTCAACTGCTATCCTCAGATTTTGCCATACATGATTACAAACTACAATTAGATGCACTCCTTTAAGGAATCTGCTTGTTTCTAATTCTTTCTATATTATTCGTTAGGTCTTCAGCCAACTCTTCTGCCTTCAGCTTGAGGAAGACGTCAATATAGTTCTTTTTGGTCTTTGTTCAGAACTTCGCATGAAGGAGGATTCCTTTCCTGAGGCTGCTCTCCAGCTTGAGAAACTATTGAAACTCAATCACCCAGAGATAAGCGAAAACATTGTAGATACTGCAAAGAAGATCAAACGTTTGAAATAAAAGGCAATTTCCCAAGTTGAAATTTTTGTTGGCTTGTGAAATCATGGACGATGTATCTAAAAGATGAATGTGAAGAGTGAAGACAAACCAAGGTTTTTGTGTGCTGGTAACAAGGCCACGCGGTAATTACTCTCGACTGTTGGTTCAATTGCTGGATGCAAACAAAGTACAAAGAGGATGTGAATTGGATCGAAGTCGGATTTTTATCTGCTTGTTCTTGGAATTATCAGAATGTGTTGAGAAGTATTGATATGCTCGTTGCTTGTGCCCAAGTTCTATCTGTAAACTTATTAGCTGTGTATTTTTCTTTTGTATTTTACTGTTGTCCTCATTGATAATTTTGCTTCGAGAGGATTTTAAAGAAGTACAATTTTTTATCAGGTCTTGGTGGCAGACAGGTAATTCCCTTATTGAGAAGCATCAATTGACATGAGAATTTGGATCTTGTTTGTACTTATTGATGATGACTCGTCCTGAAAATCGAAGTTAATTGCAAGCAAAATAGCGATTTTGAAATTCTTTGGTGTATGAGGTCCTCACCCCTTTCTAGGACCGCACAATTACATAAAACTAATTATAATTATGTGTTATCTTAAATTAAATTAACAAGAAAATAATTCAGCACTAGCTTTCCAGGAAAATAGAGGAAAAAAGTAGAAGAAAGAAATGGGGTCAAGAATTACCACTCGCCAATTAGTCAAGTCAATGATGTAAGTCAACTGTTTATGGTCTGTTTTCTATACTTCTTTTTCTTCTTGAAACTATTTCCAAATTTTCTTGTTGAAGCATTTTGGAAGTATTCTTCTTTCTTGGCCTTTGTGAAAGAACTTTTCAAATATACTTTTGTTTGCCGGATTGTTAAAGTTAAAAAGGAAAAAAAAGAAAAAAAAAAAAAGAAACATAAAATCACAACTCTTTTCGTTATGCATTTGTCCAGAACAAGCTCATATCTGCTTTGAAGATAAATGGCAGTGAGTTTTTTGTTTCCTTTTTTTTTTCTTGATCTTTCTTTTTTAAGCAGTACAGAATTATATCATGGTTTTTTTTTATATACTCATTGAATTGTAAGATAAATTGAAACCCTTTTATGTTTGTTTTTTCCTTTTCTTTTTTAGCAAATTGTAATATCTGGGTTCTCTTGAGTTGTTTCTTGAGTTTGATCTGTACTGGGTATATGGTTTCACAAGTATTATGATAATTCATAGATGTTGAGTATAATAATTTTCAGAATCAAAGACAAAATACTAATGGTTGGTTCAGGAAAATTTGATTTCTTGGAATAGTTTCATTAAAGGTGCAGATTGTACACAGTACACACACCTTCTGTAAATAAAAAAGTAATAGCATATTCTTTTGATAAAGTAAGCTGGATCTGGTTTTCCAGATTTCTGTAATGAGATGGTTTTGTCTTGACAAACATTATTCTTGATACAATGGCCTGTGTAGGAAATTTGTATTTTGAGGATGAGTGTGTGAAAAAAAATGGAAGAATTAAGTTGTTAAAGGTGAAAAGATATGAATAAAAAAAGCTGTTGGAGAATTTCATGCTTCTTTCTTTAATAAAGTTTTAATAGTGAAAGTTGCAAAAGGTAGAGCTTGAGCTGCTCATTTTATATGTCTTAATCAACTTGTCATCTGGTCCTTTTTCCTTACAGCAAAGCACAACTGTGCCCAAGTTTGGCAACTGGGAAAATGAAGAGAATGTGCCGTACACAGTCTATTTTGAGAAGGCAAGGAAGGGTAGGAGCCAAGGAAAAATGAATCGAATTGAGTCTCAAGAAAACTCTGATAGTTTCAATACCAAGAAGCCTCCAATTCAAGCCTCTTCCTTCCAAATGGGGCAAGAAGGGACTGATTTGAGGTCAACTGATTCTTCATTGCACCATAGTTTCAATGCCAATGATGCTGGCCACAGAGATAGTCCAAAACCATTAAAGCAAAAGCATGATCATAAAAGAGGTGGTCGCCGTGATACTGGTGCTCGGAGAGTGGCTGTAGACTCACTTAATCACCATAAAAGGGGTATGCAGAGGAGTGCAGTCTCTGACCTCAGCATTGAACATTCACCCAACCGGACAAAGGTTGGAGGGAAAGGTAATGGACTGTCTTCACTGTCATGGGAAAGAAATGGTTCATCCGATGGCACCCACGGCCAAGCTCCCATGACTCCTGGAACGTCCCGATTGAGATCAGCCACTCAAGCTGATGATACTGTAATTTTAGTTCTATCTTGTTATCACATTTTTAGCTTCCCATTAGCAGCTTATCAGTTTCTGCATTTTCCCATATCAGTAAAAAGTCGTCCAAGAGGACTGCAAAAGGTGAAATAATTTAGCTAATAATTGATTGCTTAAGAGTAAAAGAAAAGAAAAGGTCAAGACCTTTAGGTAGCCTCTTTGTTGCCACTCTTTTACATGGTTGTTATTAGTTAGTATTTGCCATTCTAAGTGCAGAGAACTTTACAGAAAGCTCTACTATGTGATGAATCAGGAAACAACTTCCGAGTACTTTTTCCAATATTTTTTTTCCTTTGCAAGGTGCATTTGTCTCTACTAAACCAATGCAGTATCTAAGACGATGATGCCATTCTGATGTTGCAGCCGGATGGCAGTGCTGCTGTTCCGAAATTCGGGGATTGGGATGAGACTAACCCTGCATCAGCTGATGGGTACACTCATATTTTCAACAGAGTGCGCCAAGAGAGACAGGGTGGGGCAGCCAAGGTGCCAGTCCTACCAACTGAACGTTCTCATTCTAATGGACAGAAGAAGTATGGCAAAGAAAAATCCAAGGTATGTTAGTTATTCCAACAAAGAGTTACAGTTTGCATAGAGTTACTGCAATTGTCGGACTGACACAAACACACAGAACTTGAAATCAAGATTAAAAGGCTTCTGTTGTAAATTCACAAAACCTGTTATCTGCTAACTATTATTGTGATTGATTGCTTATCTTCTTAACTGTGCATCTTTCATTCTAGCAGAGCTGCTGCTGCTTTCCATGGTGATTTTTTCCGGTGATATGTTCGAATAGGAGTACACAATACAATACATATAGTTTGGCTTTCAGTTTTCAGTTTTCTGGTGATGTGGTTGAGGGAATAATCATCATCATCCGCTTTCAGTTTCACTGTTTTCCCTTTCTCTTATATCTATAATGTACCATGCACTATTTTTTGTTCCATAGCGTCAATGAAATAAGAGAGTTCACAATTATTAACAGGCCTAAAACATCAGTCTAAGAAGAATTTCTCATTAACTTTTCTTTTTGGTTAAAAGATCTTACGCTGTCTGATATACAAATACTGCTAGACTAAACCTGCGAGTGGAAGCTTGTGACATGTTTGATTTTCTATGATCTAACAAAGAAAAGATGATCCTTCGAAGTTAGAACCTACTATCTAAATTGTTACAAGTAATTTTTTATACTTCCAATTTCATTCCAGTTCAAGAAATCTTTAGCTAGTGCAATTGCAGAAGCCATAGACTGTGCAGCCAAAGAGAAATTGCAGAAAGAAACTACTAGCATTTAGATTAAGGAATGTAAAAAAGAAGATAAAACTAGACATGGACACAGGTTTAACGGTTTTGACTCTTCTAACCTTAAAAAAAGCTTATTATAAACGACCTGACGTGGAGCTTAAAAGGATAAACAAAATGACGCAGTTGGTACTTTTCATCCGGTCGTCGAACGATCGCTCGTGTCGTGCGACGTGCGAACGAGTTAAAACAGGAAAGGCAACGTAAACTCTTTCTAACGTTAAAAAGAGGTTATCGTAAACGATCTGACGTGGAGGTTAAAAGGATTACCAACTAAACTTGGCTCTAATGATATTTTCCGTTTATAAACAGGCTAAAGAGGTATTCGTAAACAATAAAAAAATAAAATCAGCCGCAATAAATTTCAAAAATGACAATTAATTCACCTTTTGGGTTCTTTTTTAATATTTTTTCACAAAATCTTCTGACACCAGAATAAGCATATCTTCATATGTTGGTTTAAGTTTAAGTGCGTTTTAATTACTTCATGGGAAAAAAAAAACACTTTATCAGTCCTAAGAGCAACTTTTTCGTGTAATTAATCAAGAAAAATTTCAAGTCAATTTATGCATCAACCAGGGAATTGCTTCAAAGAGCTTGGTTGGTGGCAATTCATAAGGTGCATAGAGAAGCAAATAGTATGGCAGATTTGTTACCATGAGATCCTTCATACTATTTGGGTTATGGCTGATACAGTTAGGACTTTCATGCCTCAGGTTGTTGTTGTGTGATTTGGCCTTTTATCCCTCTTTGAACTTAAAAAAAAAAAAAAAAAAAAAAAAAAAAAAAAAAAAAAAAAAAAAAAAACCTAAGATGACAACTTTTCGTTGTTAATTAATCAAGAAAAATTTTCAAGTATCCCCAATTCTATGCTTTCAACGCAGGGAATTGCTTCAAAAGAAGCTTGGTTAAGGTGGACAATCATTAAGGTGCATAGAGAAGCAAATCTAGTGAATTGGCAAGATTGTTATCCCATGAGATCCTCATACTATTGGGATTATGCTGATACTAGTAGGACTTTCATGGCCTCAGATTGTTGTATGGTAGATTTGGCCCTTTTATCCTCTTTGAACTGTAAAAAAAAAAAAAAAAAAAAAAAAAAAAAAAAAAAAAAAAAAAAAAAACAAAAAAAAAAAAAATTCTCGTATACATTCAAAAAATTACTCTTACATTCTAACCTCATAATCTAAATTCTGGTATGTTTTCAAATCGTTGAAAACAAGTTAAAAAAACCCAACTTACCAATGTGTTTTTCACCATATATCTGGATGATAAGTTATAAGTCCTGGTAAAATAATTGAAGATGTATATAATTATTATATCTACATGCACATAGAAGAGAACCTTATTTTAAACATTATGGTCACACAAAAAAAAAAAAAAAAAAAAAAAAAAAAAAAAAAAAAAAAAAAAAAAAATTCTCGTACATTCAAAAATTCTCTCATTCTAACCTCATGAATCTAATTCTGGTTTATGTTTCAAATGTGAAACAAGTAAAACCCAACTTCAATTGGTGTTTTCACCATAATATCTGATGTAGTAGTCCTGGTAAATATGAGATGTATATAATATATATCTACATGCACAAGAGAGACTTATTTTAAACATGTCCACATTGTCTGTGTATATATATATATAGTATGATAATACATAAATACATATTATATGGATATAGGTGTTACATCCAACAACTATAAGATACTGAGACAACACCTACACAATTTGGATATCAATTGCAACAGACGCTTCTGACGTCAAAATTGAGAGAGACCGACATTGGATGATAAGACACATCTTGCCTCGACAGCCAAGGTCTTCACAATGCCACGGCAGGGATCACTGTCAAATACAGCATTTGATATTGAAACACTGCATTTGTTTCTTCCTAGACAAGCCTGCAGAATAGAATAAAGATACAAGTCATGATCTGCTTAGCAAAACCACCCTTGTACACACACTTTCTTCAATTCAGAACAGAGAGGCAACATAAAGCCTCAGCAAGAATTGCCTCTCAATCTATAGTATTATCAGTGTAGAATCCTTCCTTTGCAAGAGCACTGGGAAACACAACTCACAATGTTTGTTGTGTCTCCGAGAACTTGTGATAAGCTAGCTAGAGATGCCATACTTTGAGTGACAAGCTAGGCCTCCTAACCTAAAACTTAAAAGATCCACTGCATACCTCGAAACTAAAAACATTAAGATGTGTCAGAAACAAACTGAACCATAGTCTGCCACTGAATTTCAAAATAGCACCATATAGGTGATAGAAAGTTTTTCTGTTCATCTGAAGGCCCCATTATGTAGTCTATTTCCAACTGCTTCACATGATTTTCTATATGTCAATAGCATCTATGCACAATCATTATATGAAAGGTTCCAATTCATGCATCACTATTTCAGTGGCTGCGATATTCCTTCAACTTCAAATATTAACGTTCATCCTCAGAACCTGTAACCTGTTGGTATTTTTTTTTTTTTTTCTTTTTGGGTTTTGGTTTGTTTGGGGGGTTGGAAGGGGACCTAGCAGAAGTTTTGTTATTACACATACCTTGGACACCACAGACAATGAATTGGGTGAATGGCAATTGCCTCTAGAAAACTTCTGGCAGCCGCCTCGGGGAGTTCCATAGCTAGCAAATTCTATTGAGGAAATTACATACCCTTCTTGACACTGTAACTGCATTTCTGGTGTCATATCTTCAATTGAAATAGCTCCATTAACAAAACCTGGATGATGGAATCTATTCTTGATAGGTGGATAGTGGGTTTCTGACACTTGAGCACAGATCACACTGGCTGAACGCAACTTTACTGAAGTCTCAAATGGATTCCCTCCTGTCTCCTCGAAGATGACAAGTAAATTATTTGATGCCCGTAACCATGACCGTGGGATGTGGTACCTGGACATTGACATGGCAACTAGTGGCATTAGGCCTCTGATTTTCACAATGATTGTTACGTTATGGATCAAGTAGACTCCTAATCCATGTAAAAGAAGCAGCAATAAGCCATAAGATAGAGATGTGTGCACATGCAGACATGAGCATTTTAATGGAAGTATACCAGGTTTGAGTAGGCTTCCCACAATTTGTTCTACACTTTCCAGAACTGTAGGCTCCCTGATAATTGCAATTTATTGAGCATCCCTCTTGTGGAGCAACCAGAGTCCAGTATCTTCCTATGTGATGGCCATTTACCCAAGCCTGGCCCTTTCCCATGCTTCCTAAATCAAGAGCAACTGGGTCAGATCCAGCTGGTGCATCAAAGTACGTCTGCATGAATTAGGAAAATAAGGTCATTTCAGGAATGAATGAAACATGAAAGAGGTTATGGGAATTTTCAAAAACTGATGATCACAATAAAAAATTTAAAAAATAAATGCCAGGATCTACTTGAGGCCAAGGAACCTAACTAGGCGGCCAGGAGAACGTTCTTGTTATTCAAAATAACAAGAAGCACAAGAGAAAATTTGAGACAGTAAAGACAAAGTAGAAGATTTGATAAGATTATGATAATAAAAAGATAAAACTAGTGATTGGCATAAGTGAGATTTTATAAGTCAAATCACTGCATAAAAAACCACATCAAAATTCTGCACAATGGGCTCATGCAGTTTTAAATCCAGGAAAAATGAGATTTACCTTGTACCAGGCAAATGTCGATGGAATATCATTAAGAGTCAATTCAGTCCATTTTGCCTTTTCATTATCTTCAGCTGTATAGATTTGGAGGAACTCACCCTGAAGTCCCACCTGAAAAAAAAGAATCCACCCAATTCTTTAATTGTAGAAAGAGAAAAGAGTAAATAGCACTCTCACAATAACATGATCAAATCTTGGTACTAAATCATAGAGAAGAAATAGAACTCAAAGTAGCAGCCGTGTTTTATGGAGTTCTAATATGTTAGATCACCCCGCCCCTTCTATACCATTGTATAGGTGAACACCATTAGACTCAAAACTTAAAGATTAACAATAGAAATAGATAGAAATCTATAGTATATAGTTTCCCACAATATAACATGTCCTAATTCAGTAGATCAGATGCATCCAGGATCCAAGATCCAGCGGTTAGATCATAGATTGCTTTCTTTGCTTTGTTCTAAATTTAGATGCCTTCATACGTAGATTTCTTTTATAAGAGACGCTGAACATGTGCAGACATGAGAATTCAACGAATTTGGTCTTGGAAAATGTTGTTCAAGAACTAGTTGCAAGTTCAACAACTGACACTTCACCAAACATGAGAAAGAGAGACTGCTCACTCCATGACTTTAGGCGCCAAAAAATGAAACCAAGGAAACCAGCTTAAACTGTTGATTACATACCTGGTAGGTCCACAATAATTTTGAGAGGTCTATATCTCCATCCTTGAATCCAGTAAGCTTAATTTGTCCTATAAAGCCTGCTCCATCCCGCTCTAAGAAGGCACCATAATTCTGCATCATTGGCATAAATAATCAGTAGTTAAGATTCATTCAGGTACATGATAATACATAAAAATGGATAACTAGAATTAAATAAAATGCCACAAAATATAATGAATTAGCCTGCCAATAACCAATTACTGACACAAGATCTAACATCACTGCCTAGGACACATTTGACCAGTAATGAAAGGGAAGAATCTGGCCAAATCATGCAGAATCAGGACTACAAGGGTTCATCATATTCATGAATCTGCAACCTTAGAACTGCCAGTTGCAACCAGAAATACGTACTCCAGCTCTCCTTAGCTTTTACTTGGCAACCAAGGTTAAAAGAAATTTACAGATTGGTTAGCATATAGAAATTTTATATATGGCTAGCAGATAGATATAACAAAGAAACAAAAATGGTTAGAATAGCAAAAATGTGAATATATGGCAAATTAAGAAGATTTCCCAATTTTTTGGGTTTGGCTGTGGTAGCAGGGAAGCATAGTAATGCAATTTATAGAAGGTTGCTAACAGCCACAGATAATCCTATTGTCGCACAAACACCATTCCAACAGAAGTTAGCTCCATTTCCTATATCATATCAAGAGCCGCCTGCAATGAGAAAGAGAGAGAGGAGGAGACAAACATATAATTTATCTTCTTTTTTGAGGCCCATCACTCCCTTTCCAGAATCCTCTTTCCATGTGAAATATATTTTATTATTGTCCTACGTAATTTTGCCAATCTAAGCCAATGGGACATGCCAATAAGACAACTTGACAGTCAGCTACATAGCAGCTGGGAAACAAGTACTAACATCAGAATATATTCAAATTTTGACAAGAATACCAAACTTTACCTGCAAACCCACTGTCTGGGACACCAACACTAGATCATTATATCCTTTCTGAAATTGAACTGGTTGCACCACCTTGACCCAATGACCGACCACACTGCCTTTATTTTGAACAGAATAGCAGCAGCATAGACATCAAAGACAATATATAGGATAGTGAGATTTTTAAAACAAGGCAGCAAGTATTAGTTAGAAGTACCTAGTATTTAAAAGTAGAAAGATATTTTGCTTTAGGGGAGAAAAAAAAAATGGGCCAGCACAACTTTCATAAGAGCTGCATAAGTATTTTCTAAGGGCTAAGAGGATCTCTTAAGTAGCAGAAATATTGTGGCCCAGACAATTAGAACATCTAGGATGTGTTCCAGGTATATCAAATCATGTTTGTACAAATGAAAGCAATTTCATAGGTGCACTGTAGAGTTTCATGACCATTAGCCCCCATCCCAAACCAATGAAGAAGAAGAATTTGATAAATTACCTGTAAGCTGGCCATTAATGAATACACGTAACACATCACGCATGCTATCTATTGTAACTGAAGGAAGAACTTTATTTTCCTCCCAAAGTGCAATGTCATCATCAGAAACATATATTCTACATTTCAAAAGTGAATTTAATTAGGCGTCAGTGCATATAGAAACTAAATCAGCAAACATAGTAATTATCTAACTTTTTTCCAATGATGTGGTTCAACATAAAGTTCGTGACAGAAATAAACCCTGCCTTTTTAGCATTGAGGATAATCCTAGCCAACGTAAAAGTTTTTGAGAGTTGGAATATACTGGGCCTATAGCATTCTATCAAAATTTTTAAAGAAAAAAAAAGCTTAAGTGGATATCCATTATAAAGAAATTTCTTACAGAGTTGAATGCTTTTGTAGTTTGCAGCCATATCCAAGACTAGACAAGTACCTGGTGAAATACCATAGGTAGTCAGAATGGTCCTTTGTCACGTTCAAATGCTCCAATATGCCTTGCACTGTAAAATTGTTCTCACTCCAAATGCTGATTGGCTCTTTTATAGTCATCCAGGATGTTGTCGTAAGGGACTGTTCCTTCTTAGCCAAGATTTGCTTGGATGTAGAAATATCTGGAAAATAAGGCAAAGCAAGCTCTACAGATTTGATAGAAGTTTGTGCTGCTACCTGCTTTTATGGGGAAAGATATGGAATAGTAACAATAAGGGATACAAGCTAAACTCCAGGAACAAAAAGAAAAAACAGCTAAATCTCATCATAGACTGAAAACTAAGAAGTTGTAGCTTGTCCATACAATCTTCATCATTTGAATATTTAGAAATGGATCGTCTTTTATCATTACTATAATCCACAAATAGGAAGAGCAACAGATAGAGAAAGACTTTGGCAAATGGAAATGAATTTATGTCTCATCATGTGTAGATGACTGCATTCCTAGTAGCATATAATAAAAATCTGAAACACCCTAGATAGCTAAACAACCACCTTGAGAAAGAATTCAAAACTGTCTTCACTTTGCTACACTTTCCAAGAAAATTGTGAAGAACATCTAGAACAGTATGGCATTTCATCCCATCAACCATGCAGACCAGATCAGTTAAGAGAGAGATACATTCTTCAGAATTATCCCAGATATGATATCCAGATATTCTGCACCTTTACTTAATACAACAGTTTAGTTGAAGACAGATCTAAACTACCTCATGACAAATAAAGGTGTATAACTTCATAACGGACCTTATATTAAAATTTTCAGGCCTCAAGTATCAAAAGAAAATAAAGGGGGGAAAATTATTCCTAGTGTCAGATAAGTGCCCAATTTTATGAATGTTGGAAAAGACCTTACCTTGGCAGTGTTGAAGATGACATTCCTGCAATCTGGCAATATGCTCACTGACCACGGTGGTAAAGTATATGATTGACCAAAGAATCTCACTGTGACTGTTCTATGCTCATCAATATTCGCAAGAAATGCAGAGCAAATGCTTTGACTTCCATGCTGAGTTAAGTTCAGGTCTTCAGTGTGAGCATTTGTATGGTACAAATGTGCCTGAAAGTAGTGACACAAGAAAAAAAAAAAAAAAAAAGAATGGTTCTGGAAAGACCTTGACCTGGGCAAGTGGGAGTTGAAGATGAACATTGCCTGCAATCCTGGGGCAATTAATGTGCCGCATGGACCTATCTGGTGGTGAAAGTAATATGGGAGTTGAGCCAATAGAGGAATTCTCACTGTGGACTGTTCTAGCTGTGCTCAATCCAATATTGCGCCAAGAAATGCAGAGAAATGCTTCTGACTACATGCTGAGTTAAGTTCGAGGTCTTGCAGTGTGAGCATTTGATAGTACACAATGTGGCCCTGACAGTCAGTGACACGGCTCATAGAAAAAAGAAAAAATAGCTTCAATATAAGCCAGAAAGCAGCGATAAGGAGAAAGAAAAAAGTACGAAGCACAATATGAACAACTAATTCACCTTTGCAGAAAAGGGACAAGCATCCAATCCAACAGAACAGAAAGAATGATTCTGGTGAAATGATCCGTTGCCTAGCAGATATGTTGTATTTGTCTAGAAACTTTTTATTACGGTGGGCAGCTATGCCACACGTCTAGTCAGCGGTATTTGGGCAATTTTGTTAGAAAGTATGGAGAATAGGATATGCAGAGGAATACAGGTAGTATCGATTGAGTTATCCAAATATTATCAAGTTGGGTTCCATAGGATTTCTGGAGAGTCACTATATTAACGTCATTCCCACTTAAATTAGAAGTGGTTGATAATTATGTTCGCATCCTCATTTTTGAACAATCAACTTGCTACAAACCCTTTAAAAGCTTTGTAGGCATAAAGGTGACCTTGAAGACCTTTCCAAATGAATAGGAAAACCCCCTGGAATTACTTTTAAAAAAATAAATAAATAAAATCGCACTTACGAGAGAGAGTGTTTTACTAATGATGTAATATCCCCTTGACATTTCAAGTATATAGGCTTACATAGGGCAATTTTTCCACATTGAGAGTAGCATTAGCTAAAAAAGTGCAAGGTGATTATCGCCCAAGCCTATTTGGCTGCTCTCTCTGAGCTTAAGCTTCAAAAAGCCAACAAGCTTTAGCGATGTTGACATAAGCGATGATATCACGACAGATAAATTGACGCGACAAATAACTCCACTAGGTGAAACATTCAAATTTACCACAAAGTAGAATGCCATATTTGTAATCTCAAATTTGTGCAGAAGCAAGAATCAATGTGTTGTAGAGGCAGGAAATGTAAGAAAATAAAACAAAACGTACAGGGTGATTGAAAGGTGTAATTGGAGATTGATTGTATTCTACCCATTTCAGGCGGAATCGGTGTAGAAAACTTGGGGAAAAAAAAAAAAAAAAAAAAGCTTCAATATAAGCCAGAAAAGAGCATAAGGAGAATAAAAAGTACGAAGCACAATAGACAACAATTCACTTGCAGAAAAGGGACAAAGATCCATCCAACCAGAACAAAAGATGATTCTGGTAATATTTGCCTAGCAGTGTATTTGTCTAGAACTTCGTGCTCCAACTAGTCAGTGCAATTTTGTTAAATGGAGAAAGATATCAGATACAGTAGTATTATTAGTTTCCAAATATTTCAAGTTGGTCATTTCTGGAGAGTCAATATATTAACTCATTTCCCACTTATTAGATGGTTATAATTATGTCCTCATTTTTGACAATCAACTGCTACCCTTTAAACTTTGTTACAATAAAGGTGACTTGAATAGACCTTTCCAAGATATAGGAAAACCCTGGAATCTACTTTTAAAAAAATAAATAAATAAAATCCACTTACAGAAAGTGTTTACTAATGATGTATATCCCTTGACAATTTCAATTATTGCTTACATAAGGCATTTTCACATTAGAGTACATTTAGTAAAAGTGAAGGTGATTATCCCAGCCATGCTGCTCTCTCTGACTTAGCTTCAAAACTTTAGCGATTTACATAAGCGATATCACACAGATAAATTGACAGCACAAATAACTTCCACTAGGAAACATTCAATTTACCACAAAGTAGAATCCCATATTTTATCTCAATGCAAACAAGATCAATGTGATTTAGAGGCAGAAATGAAAGAAAACCAGGGTGATGAAAGGTGTATTGGAGATTGTGATTCTACCATTTGGGAATGGTGTAGAAAACTTGGGGGGGGTAGGCAATGAACAGTAGAATAATCTCCTGGGCCCAAAGACAATGTTTCTCTTCAAATTTGAGGGTAAAGATGAATAAAAAGGCTTATTTAATTGTTCTTCCAAACATAGTGATAGTTGTCATCTATTTTCATACTTCAATAAGAGAGGGAAGGGTGTATATCATAATAATTTCAATATTTTTCTCACACAAACTTCCACCACCTTCCAAACAACACTATCACATTTGTTTTCTCATTTTATTCCTCCTCCCTTTATTTCCCCAACCAACTTTTTATCCTAACAGTGCTGTAGAAAATTTTTTTTCTCTTACATTCAGCTAAACACTTCTAAGAAAATGAGATAGCCAATCAAAAACTACAGTAATGTGAAGAACAGGAAAAAGGAATAACTTTTTGAAAATGAAAATGAGGAATCTCTCCATTTTCTTTGAATCAGGAAGAGGAAGCATTTCAGCAAGGTCTATTCTGCTATAATGGTAAAGAATATAATAATTTTTACGAAGAAAATAATGCTTTCATATTAAGGCAGTTGAGAAGTACAAGGCCAAATCCTGATCAAAATATTTTTAGTCAGTTTATATTGGAAATAACAGCCTCACAAAACATAGATTGCAAAATGAAGCGGTCCAGGAAGCAAAGAAATTAACATCTCTTTTGATACATGAAGCTCAGGGAAACATTAAACTTAAAAGCACTCATGTCAGAAAAGCTAAGAAAACACAGAACAAACCTCTTGCTTAGGTCCCAATTTTATGTACTGAGGTGAATCTGCAGCAACTAGAGCTGGTTCACAAAGCTTTATAGCAGCATGCAGTTCCTTCAAATGCCCCCATTTTGGCTGACTCAACAGTCCTAAATGGGAAGAGACACAGAGAGAGTATAGAATGAGGAGCAGAATCTTCAATTTGGGCTTCTATCTGATGCTTAAATTTGGCAAACATATATAAGCAACTTATGCCTGAATTGAAAGTTGTTTCAAGATAAGGAAAATTGTTTTTTCTAAATCCAATTTACACCTACCATATTCATCAATTGGAGCATCATAGTCATAACTAGTTATATAAAATGGGCCACCAGCAGTTCGACCAAAGTTTGTTCCACCAAAATACTGCAAGTTGCAACATGCAGTATGCTTGTCAAAATATTGCTTGTAGACATCAATGGTCTTTACTGAATGAAAATGATATATTTCCGCAAAGGATAAAGAGATTTATTATTGAAGAAACTATGAAATTATTTGTTGCTCATTTAATTTTGCATCTTACTTAACAATAATTGTTAAGAAGTGAATCCTAGATCATAGAGAGGCCTTATAAATGCAACCATTATGGGGCTATGGTTGTAAAGAGCCACTCCATTTCAGATAGTTCATTAGCTTCCTTGATTAAATCCATGGAAATAATAAAAGTTTGTCTGCCTCCTGTTACAAGGAGTAACACCAAATTTGTTTTGCTGCAAAATGAAACTTAGCAATTGTAACAAAGAAATTGAAGGGAAATACTGAATATGCAACTCATAACCAAAAAAACTGCAAGTCTAATATTTTCCCACATGTACCACGAAGGGATATCATTTGGCCCTAAATTAAGTGGTCCATTACTAACAAGTGAAGTGAACTGGAATTTTAAACCATGTAACTGACAGACCCAACAAAGCACACAAGATGGTACATCCTCATAACTTTTTGCAAGAATAATACTTTCCCGTGTATGTTTTGATAAATTAAAATAGCATTCACTTCTCTATTATACCATATAGTAATTCTGGAAACTCCCTCCCCGTTCAAAAAATCGTGCAACTGCAAAGGCTAGGTCTTCAACTGGCCTATGAGGCAAGTTTCCACCCCAACTCGCATACCTTCAAAAAGCCAACTTAAAATGAGGAAAATCCTGCTCAAATACTTGCAGCAGCATCATTAAGACAGATAAACGCAAGTTTAGAAATGAAGCATTAAAAACATGCTTAAATTAGCATGCCTTAAAGAGTCAGGAAATGAAGGCACTATATCCTAAATGTCTTGGGCAAAATACACCCACAATGTGGAACCCTGACAAGGGAAGAAAAAACCATAGAATTTGCTCAATTGAATATGTAGATCACAAGGAATTGTCATACCATCCATCCCAATCCTCTGTCCAAATTATTGGTTTCTTTGGGGAATTTGGCTTATAACCATCACAATAGTATTCATTGCATGCATCTATCTGCAAAAATTAACCAAAATATCAAAGGAATAATGATTCATCAATTCAGAACTAATTACATTGCAATTGACACTACCATTACTAAAACAAATAAATCAGAAATTTGTTTGGCAAAATATAATTGTAAATTCCTGTCATATTTTCAATATTGTCAATATAGAAGGCTGAGCAAAATTTTGAATGCAAAATAACATAGTTTACGAAACTTAAAAGACATCATGTATAGAAGGTGAAGACCTTACAATGTTTTCAGGAGCATCAGTCTGCCTGCACATTACCCATGGAACCCCTGCACCAAGCCCTAGAGCCATCTTGGCAGCCCACTTAACATATTCTTTTCCCCCAGGCCCAATTGAGTGTTCAATGTTTCCATATTCATTTTCAATCTGTCAAAAATTTATTTATAGTTACATCCTATTTTCCAATGGAAAATTTTCATTCTAGTGACTATATGAACTGGTTGGACAGTAGCTTGGGTTCGTTTTACTACAAAAAAATCACAAGTGGCTGAAAATAATGGCTCAAAATCTCATCTCCAAATCATGTCAGGCGATTCCCAAAGAAATGAGAAGAAGATTGCCAAATAAAATGTCCAAATTTTGAGTGATTCCCCTTTCTCATATGATGTATCACCATCTCCATAAGACACAAGAAGTGTCAGAATCAAATCAAACAGAATGAGATTCTAATTCGATCTCCTTGCATATTGAAACCAAAAATAAGCCATCGATCTCACAAATAACTCAGCCTTACAGAAAATAATAAATAGCTGTTATGCACAAATTGGAAATTAAAATTGTCTTACAACCTGCATCATGATAACTGGACCACCTTGCCAAGATAATAGCTTTTCGTCTCGCATTAGATCTACAATCTTCTTAACAAACCGTTGCATCTCCTCCTGCAGACATTGACTATCATAAAAAAAGTAACAATACTCTTTATGAGACTTTTGAATCAATTTCAACAGACTCGCCATCTTTTTCTTCTCAAATTCCACAAATTTACTTGTCAGCATCAGGTAGTTATAATAGATCCTGACAATGACAATGAAGCTTTGCAGAAAATATTGTAATAGTACAAAGGAAAACAAGAGATCAATTTCCAGAGGGCAAAATAGAAGGTACAAGAAATAAAAAAAAAAAAAGATGAAGACAAATGATAGGAATGATTGCTTGACCAGGACACTAGATGCCACAAAGGAGTATGGTAGAGGGGAGGGAGAGAAGGAAGGAGGGAAATTAGATTACTTATTGCAAAGAGTCCAAGGCATGATCATTATCTTCCAAGCTAATAGATGTATAAAATAAGGTCAAAGCTAAAAGGCACAGTGTTGACACACAGGGAAAGATGGAGAGAGAAAATCAAAGATAAGATGGAAGGTTTCCTAGCCTCAATAGAATGATTTGAATTTTATTTTTCTTTTTTTTTTTTCAATTCTACATTCTAGCATAAGGTGGTACAATCAACTTTAAAGTGGCAGTCAAATTCAAACAGATTGTTAAATATGCATTACCCAAATATGCAACTGTAATCAACTCATAGGCCGATGATACCTTAAAAGGAGCATTATCTGTTCGAAAAACTATGCCAGGGATATCACGCAACCACACTGGGAAGCCCCTGCAATCATTGTCAACCAAAATAAGAAAAATTATGAAAGAAATTTGGGTTTTTAATACAAGATTAGCAAATATGTCCTAATGCAAAGCATCAAGCAAATGCCAGAAACAGTGAATGATTAATTACAAGGAAGAAAAAAGACTAAAAATCATTCTCTAGATGGATTTTTAATAAAAATAAAAACTTCCAAAATATAAAGGAAAGAGAAGATGAGACCCAAAATTCCATTCTGCACAAACATAAGGACCTATACGAAGATGGAGATAGAGTCCACTAGCTCCCACAAGCTTCACAAACTTGACAATATCATATCTTCCTTCAAAGATATACTGAAAGCAATAAAGTAATGTACAGTGTTTTAGTGAAACAATAACAAGTGAAATTAGAAAAGCCACCATGATAGGCCACGATCAAAAACTAGCTGAACTAAAATTAATTGCACCTGTCCTCTAGCTGGCTCATGTCCATTCCAAAACACATAAGTCTGAATCACATCTACACCACCTTCCTTGCTCTTTGCAATCAGATCAGGCCACATCTGAAATTACATGAAATATGTAAGACGTGAAAACCTTGTCATCTGAAAACCAATCATGAAAAATAAAATTGCCGCTACAGATGAACAAATAGACTAACGCATATTGCCAGAAAGAGACGCTGTTAGCAAAAGATATACCGCACACAGAAACTACAAAAATAAACAAACGCATCAGATTCGTAATGAAGGTTGGCTAAATCACCATCCACCTTGACCTTGTAAGGTCTAACCATAGATGACTACTGCATTCCCCAGACTAACTTAAATGATCTCTTCATCCAAATAATTAGGTCAGCAGGCATATCACTATAAAACAAAATTGGTTCAGTATTTACATAACTTTTCTACAGTTATCACACACCCTCATTCCAGTAATTAGGCTCCAAAAGTGAAACAAGCACACATCCTATCACAGAATAACCATAAACCAAATATAAGAATGAAAAATCAGGGCCAGTAACAGAAAACTAAAGAAGCATTACTTGCAGAATCGAAATTCAGCCAGAGTGAAAAAAAAAAAAACATAGAAATGCTTTCTCCTTTTTTTGAAGTCCTAAAACTTCAACAAACAGCAACAATTTCTACAATTCTTCTGATCTTCGATAGACTATGAGCAACAAGCACAACCGTAAGAATAAAAAATAAATTATCTAATACTTAATTTAAAAAAACGAAATTCAGTTTTCTCCTACTAAACATCATTATCAGCGACCAAGCAGTGACAAAAAAAAAAGTAGAATACGAAATTAAGCACCTCGGGAGTGGCGCGAGGATAGTGAATTCCGCCAGAAATGAGCATCCGACGATGACCATCGATGATCAGTGAGCGATGATCATAGCTAACGTTGAACGGTTTGAAGAAGTTGGCGGATACTAAGAACAACTGAATATGAATAATTATTAGAGGTAAAGACAGACATTGAAGCACAGCTTCTCCTCTTCCTCTTGCTACCATTTTTGTGTTTACCAGAAGAAAAGCAGAGACTGAAAAATAGCAAATAATCGGCAAAGACCGAATGAGTCATAATAAAGTAAGGCGAGACGCAGAAGCAACCAACTGCCGATCAAAACGATGGTTTTTTGGATAATGACAGGTTGTCTATCGGGTTGAAGAGATTTTTTTTATACGGGTCCGAAAACCGGGTTTTATTTTATCATTACCCGCCAAAACCGAAGGGCATAATTACAAGTTTTTAAATTAATTCTATATATTTTTGCAATTTCGTTTTGGAGTAATAAATTTAGGGGATCAAGCAATTGAATAATTAAAATTACCATGAGTCGTAATTTTGTTTATTTGAAATAATTAATAATAAATTAATCATAACGATTGACATTATTCTTACTGAGCTTATTTATGTAAATTCCTTGTTTTTCAAAACTTTTTGTAATAATAATTGTAATGCTTGTTAGTGTTCTCACAATTACTGGGCTTGTTATTGATATAACAGCCTAACAGGCATTATAATTAAGTTATTTAAGCTTAAATTAAGACAATACTTTAATTTTTTATAATTTTATTATAACAAAATAAAAATTTATTTTCACATTTTTAAAAGATAAAGATTCAAAAATATATATTAAAAAAAAAGGAGAATAATGAGTTGTCAAACACTGTGCATTAAAACGATGTAAATTTTATCCATTTTTTATTACCATAAATATGCAAAATTCATTGTAATTTTTTTTTTTTTAAAGCAAAACAGAATAGCTCATATTATTAGAATCGGAGAATAAAACGTTATTATATTAGGAGTATATACCCCATTTGGAAATTAGGCACAGAAATAGTCATTCTAGCAATGGTATGAGCAACGAGTAATCTGATTCGCTGATTTCTTAACAAAAACAAAAGAAATTTACTCTAAATCAAGGAGCAACATAATTAATTGAAGTAATTAATATCCTAAATTATAAAAAACTAAAGATAATTCAAACAAATTATCCTTTATCTCACATTATTACTCATATTTTACATCATTATATTATATTAAATATAAATAATGGTAAATTTTAAATAATTATTTATTACACCTTAAAATATTCAAACAACTTATATTTTATAATAAAATAGTTACTTTAAAATGACGTATGTTTTGAAATGAAACGACTAATTTACAAATTATTCTTTGTTTTATTATAATTTAGGAAATTAATTCATTTCTTAATCTCAATGCAAAAATTTTAAACGATTTAATTATATTTTAAAATGAAATTAGTAGTGTGTCGCTACTTCTATTATTTATAATGTTTACTGATTTTTATAATTTGACAAATTACGGAAAGTTACTCTTTATTTAATATTAACAACTAATTTTGTCAAATACTTACTAAAAAAAGAGTTAATTTTCACATATTGGAACAATTAACAACTATTAATAGCTAATTTTATTTAAATACTTACTAAAAAAGCTATTTTAAACAACTAATTTTGCCAAACAAGGCTAAAATCACACCATCCATTATTTCATGATTTATAGTGGATAATTTATCTTAGATGGTATAGAAAGTTTTATTTTCCTCTTATATTTATAAAAAAGAAGAAATAAAAATTTAAATTATACTTAATTGAATATAATTAAAGTAGTTGAATATTGATTTAGAAAAAAAATGTTCTGAAAACATGTTTTATCTTATGCTGCAATTATTCTCAATTTTGTAAAATGGGATATTAATAATAACAAAATTTTAAAATGGAATAAAATTACGGAATTAATTTATAGATATATATAAGTCTTGAGATTGACTTACGTAAATTTGATGTATGAGTTCAATTGCAAACCAAATCAATAAAAAAATAATTTTTTATTAAAAAAAGTGTATTTTGACCATATACCAAGAAAGAAAATAAAGTATAAAAAAAATATTTTAATTGATTTGGTTCGTGGGTACGGTCATTAATAACAAATCTGATCCTAATGTTTTGTTTGGATAAAGGAAGGGTGTAAAACAAGGGAGAATGTAAAACAAGAGAGCACGACATATTATTCACTTTACCTCTTCAGTTTATACTCTTTGTTTAGATTGATGGGAAATAAGAGGGAGAGAGTAAAATAAATTTATTTTACTTTGTCTGCACTCTCGCTATCTTATTTTCCCTCTCATTTCGGAGAGCAATGGTGTATTACGGTAACGATTTTTTAAATAGTTTATGTTAAAATGCTAAATATTATTTAAAAAAATGTTTAGCAATATAATGTTTATATTAGCTTTTAGAGATTAAATTAATATTTTGTGAAAAGTTAATTCATATGGGGTTTAACTTTTATCGTTTTATGAAAAAACACTCAAACAGCTAACTGTTGTTAAAACAGCTAATAATTATCAAAATAATTAATCTTACCAAACAGACTATAAATTGAATGGAGTAAAATAAGAATATTTTACATCCACTCACAAATTTACTTTCCCAAAATAAGGTATTTTGCAAAATCTAAAAAATTTTCACTCGTTATGCTCCATATTTTACATCCAATCAAACAAGTTGTAAGTTTTCATGTTTTATGTAAATGAAAATTATTTGAATCTTTAATTTTACGAACATAAAGGAAATCCAAAATTATCTATAAATAAATATTTTTAGATTAAATATATCTGACATAAATTCATTTCAATATTCTTCTCCCTCAATATGAACGCTGACTTCCCCAAAGTCGTTAAACTTAGATATCAAACGACACCGTGTCGTTGGTCGGAAGACAAAGAGGGGTCAAAGCCTGAAAGAGACAAAGCAGACTGCAGAGAAGTTTATAAGGAAACGGCAAGCCTTAGCAAAGGCAATCAAAATTGGCGGCACAATCATGAACGAAGAAAAGAATGGAAGAAGACATTAAAACCGAAACTAAAAAGTAGGGGCCAGTGGCTGATTTTAAAAGTGATTTGGTTTCCAAAATAAAAGGACAATTAAAAAATTCATTGAATAAAAATGGAAACCCAGAACTGCCTCGTCAATTCCATTAACAACAATAAAATCTTATTCTTGCCTTTTTCACTAACCTTTCCTTCGTCGTTCTTCTATATATCGCGGCCACCGATCTGTTTCTTTTCTCACGCTGCAAAACACCGTCTTGATTCTCTGCACAGGTGCGTTCTGTTGGCGATTCTTGATCAAATTGGGGATCCATCTTTTATATATTTGTTTTAATAATTTTCGGGTGTGTTTTTACCTAGCGAGTGGCATATGTTTCTGTTTGATGGCTTTTGAAAGATCATGGATTGGTTAATTTATGATGTCGGTTTTGTTTATAAAACTACAGTCTTTGAAATTTGAATTTCTTCCTCAGAAATCCCTAGTAAATTTATTCCCCATATTATCTCTCCTAGATTTCGATCCAATTTCAAGGAGATAAAACTCTTTTGATTCCTTGGTATGTATTTGTTTGGATGAGAAAGGATGAAATAGATATAAATAAGTAATAATTATTTGGTCTCAGGAGTGAAATTGTACTATTTGTTAATGAATTTATGTTTCTGTTGATTATATTATTTGATTTGTATAGGCTCAATCCCAATTCACAGAAAGCTTCCGTCTTGAACCTTGATTTATTGATTTTGACTGACATGTTGGTTTTATTCAAAAGTAACACAATAACATGTTCTTTTTTCTGGGTATATAGGTTTGTTAGCGTTTGATGCTAACATGGATTCGTGGGCACTCAACTGTTTGGAAGGGAACTTGACAAACGCTCAAAGCAGAGGGTTGAATCTAGACATAGATCTTAACTATCCACTCCCTCCTCAAATGAGTGCTCTTGATTTATCTCTTGGTTTATCCAGTTATACTCATTCTCAACAAGTTCAAGTTCAAGCTCAAGCTCAAGCTCATGGACATCAAACTACAAATGTTGTTGAGGTCCTGGATGATGAAGTTACTATAATCTCCCCAAGGGCATTTGCTGAAGTATGTTATTGTGTTAATTATTGTATATTCTTGTATCAGCCTAGTTTTTTTTTTTTTTTTTCAACCTGAGTGCCATAAGTTTCCTGTTGATGTTTTTGAAAGCATCATGGGATTGGTTAATCTTATGATGTCGGTTTTGTTATAAAAGCTACAGTCTTGAATTTGGAATTTCTTCCTCAAGAAATCCTAGTTAATTTTAGTATCCCCATAATATTGATCAGTCTCCTACGCATCTTCGATCCAGAGTGCAAGAGGATAAAACTCTTTGATTCCTTGGTATGTATTTGTTTTGGCATGAGGAAAGGATGAAATCGATAATAATTAAGTAATAAATTGGATTGGTCTCGGTGAAATTGTACTATTTGTTAGATGATATAATGTGTGTATGTTTCTGGGTTGGATTATATTATTGAATGATTTGTGATGAAGGCTGCAGATCAAATTCACCGAAGAAATGCGTCCTCGCCAGCGCGTTCACCCAGCTTCCGTCTTGAACCTTGATTTATTTGATTTTGCACGTGACATGTGTAGTTTTTATTGTGCAAAAGTAAGCGACAATAAGAGTTCTTTTTTCTGGGTTATTATAGGGTTTGGGTTAGCGTATTGAATGCTAACATGGATTGCGTGGCACTCAACTGTTTGGGAAGGGAACTTTGACAAACGCTCCAGAAGCAGAGGGTTGCAATCTAGGAGATAGATCTTACTATCGGCCTTCCATCCTCCAAAAATGAGTGCTCTTGATTTATCTTGGTTTAATCACCAGTTATACTCATTCTCACAAGTTCAAGTTCAAGCTCAAGCTCAAGAGGCGCATGGACATCGAAACTACGAAATGTTTGTTGAGGTCCTGGAGATGAAGTTACTAATACGACCTGTGCACCAAGGGCATTGCTGAAGTATGTTATTGTGTTAATAAGTTGTATATTCTTGTATCAGCCTAGTTTTACCTTGTTTTTTTTTTTTTTTTTCAACTTATTCTCTTCTATTGTTTTATCTGTTGGTAGGCCAGGCAAAATTCTGAAAGAAACAGTCCTCATGGAATTCTCAGGGGATGCGCTGGTAATGGGCCTTCTTGTTCTCTTATTATGTTTGCATGTTTGTCTGATCATATGTGGATTTGAATTTTACCTATATGAAACAACCCCTGAAAGTTGATCTTATGAGTTTTAAGTAAAGCAACAACAGGTTATGCTATGCTCTGATCAATGGTCTTGCTGCAAATAGTATGTGCAGAAGCTTTCAAGCTTCAACCATCGGTACCACCACTGCCATTCACAAAGATGCAATGGCTTAACTGCTCAAAATAATCTTACTTGTGATTTCATGTTAAAGTTTTGCCCCTTGTGTACTGAATGGAAGCATATCCTGGTAAAAGTCCTAAAGAACTGAAATTGGAATTTATGTTATCCGATTCATTTGTTTGGAGGAAAAAATAATTCGTGTGAAAAAAAAAAAATTTAAACCTGGAATTTGTGTAAAATTAGTTTTAAACAACCAACTCATGCCACCAGGTGTAATTTACCATTTCTTTGTGCTGTACTTGAAGCAGTGACGAAGCTAGAATGTAAATAGAAAAGGGGGGGAAATAGAAAGGGGGGGGGGCGGGGGGGACTCCTATAACAACATAAAGTGAATGGGGACAAAGTGGTTTGGTGTACTTTGGGCAAAGTGGAGAAACTAGGGTTTGACTGTGAAATATAATCAAAATTTCTCTTTTTCCTCTAAGAGGAGGGGGGATTGCCCCTCTTCCAATGAGCAGCTTTCACCCTGAATTCAAGCTGCTTTAAAATCCTTATTTCTTTTTTTTTAATCCTTTATAATTGTTTAATCAAGAGTAACGCATAGAGACTTTTCATTTATATTTTTTTTTTAATGACCAAACCCGTCAATTGCCCATTGTGGTTTTGGTTTGTGGGGGGGGGGGGGACTCTATAACACATAAGTGAATGGGGACAAAGTGGTTGGTGTACTTTGGCAAAAGTGGAGAAACTAGGGTTTGAACTGTGAAAATATAATCAAAATTTTCTTTTTCCTCCTAAGAGGAGGGGGGATTGCCCCCCTCTTCCAATGAGCAGCTTCATCCCTGAATTCAAGCTGCTTTAAAATCCTTTTTTTTTTTTTTAATCCTTTATAATTGTTTAATCAAGAGTAACATAGAGACTTTCATTTATATTTTTTTTTTAATGACCAACCCAGTCAATTGCCATTGTGGTTTGGTTTGTGAGCATGGGGTAAATTGTATTGATTTATTTCATTGTTAAACTGGTTCTGGACAGAGTGATAGTATTACCTCTGCATGCTTCATTATTCAGGGCAAAAAGGGCCAATTGCTATATGAGGGAACATGAATGGCAGCAAACCTGCTTCTAGCCATTAAAATTTTGTTTCAATGGTACTTTGTTACCTTTTCTTCACTTCTGATCCTTATTAACATCTGTATCATAATCTTTTTAGGTTTTGTTTTGGGTTATACTTTTGTTATTCATTTTAATATTAAATATGCTGTGATTTATAAACATGGATTAAATATAAAAAATAGTTGCCGTTAACGTAATAATTGAAGCAATATTTTGTGTGTTCCTTGGAGTCACATTATTTCCTTATCCTTTCAAACAATTCACATTCCTGTTATTCTCTGGTTGTCCTTTTGCAACAAAACATCATCCTATCTATCCTTTTCTTTGATTTGGAATTGGTGGAGGGCTAGTATATTTAGTTTCCTAGTAGTTTAGCAGTAACTTATGCCTGTGCTTCCATTGGGAATTGACAGATGCCACCACTTTATGCAATAATTGCAAAAGAAGAATTCCAGATGACAGCCAGCCTTGCTTGAAACCAGGAACAAGTAACAGGAAGAAGGTATTTTTAGCAAACTTTTTTAAGATGATGATGATGGTGTGTTCTTGCTTGATCTTCGTTTTCTTTTTTCCTTTTATTTCTGGTTATGTCCTGACATCTCTTCTCTGTTAGGAAGCTTTTAAATTTTCGTTCTGCACATAAGTTGTCGAGTTTTCTGATATATTTTTGGTTATCACTGGTTGGTTATCTTCAGTTTTTTGTAGTAGTTGGTGATACTTCTTCTCTTTACTGTTTTGCTGCTTGTATTTCTTTTAACTGCTGTTAATTTCTTTTTCAAAATTTCCTTTAGCTCCCATGTCATGTGCTATTAATGTTTTGACTTAAGTGGTTGGACCTGTCATCAGTCACCTATTTGTATAAATCTGTTGAAAAGAATGATGTAAACCAGGTACAATATTTAGATATTTTGTGGGATTACTCTCAAGATTTCAAAAACTGTACAAATATGTTAAATCATGCAACTATTATTGGAGCCTTTAGCTGTATTTTTTTTTTCCCACTTTTTCCATAGGCACCATTAGTACTCTGTTTATCATTATTATTTTTTGGTACAGTATAAAGCTTTTGTGCAATTATGTAGTTCTGCTTCCATATTTCAAGCTAGGAACCTCTTTGTAAAGTTCCTCTTCTTATTGGGTCATTTGCTATGGTTATAGTAGTTACTTGTTTCCGCAACTCCTAATAAGCTTTTGTTTCATTTCAATGTTTTTAACTTCTGTGAAGTTTCATTTGCAGGCAAAGAATGTGTCCACGGTTCAAGAATCGTCCCAGTCTGTTCCGGTGCCTGAAGAATCTATCTTCAGTTGCCCTATATGCATAGGCCCTTTAATTGAACCAACATCAACAAAGTGTGGTCACATATTCTGCAAGGAATGCCTCCTCAGATCGCTAAAATCATTACGCAGCAAATGCCCAACCTGCAGGCAGAAGGTCGGAAAGCGATCCATCTTTAGGGTTTACCTTCCTACCACAATTGAATGAATTTATGATTGGTGAAACTAGGCGACAAATTAGCCAGGCTGACTGATAAAAATCTTCAATTGGGTTGATGACTGTCTAGGGAGGGACAATGAGAACAACTTTTGATTTTGGGGGGTGGGGGAAAGAATAACTAACCTTATTGACTGGCTGATTTAAGATGATGTACTCAATTTTGATTTGTTTATTATTATTATTATTATTATTTTGTATATAATGCAATCAATTGGTTTACTCCTTTGTAGTTGAATATGTTGGTTCTAATAATTGGTTAACTTGTATTTGAGATCATGTTGAATTTGAATTTTCATTTTATACTTTTATTCAACACGGATTATAGCTCAAATGGGAGTCTTATTTAAAGCATATGGTTTTTCTTATAATATAAAAATCAACATAAGTTTGATTGTCTGAAAGTTCAATTTGCTGATTCTCAGGAAATTCATTTTGCTAGGAGGATAAAAAACTTTTTACTTTCTATGGTTGCGTGTCAGTTTAAAATCAAATTTTATAAAAAATAAAAATTAAAAAAAGTACTTGAAGAAGTAATTTTTATTTTTTCTTTCCGTGAAAACCAATTTCACTATTTTAAGGCACCAAAATAACAAATTTCTATAGAGTTTAATAATAAATCATCTTTCTTTACATTTGAAAAAACAAAATTTAAAAGCCAAAAACAATAACAATAACAGTGCCACAGGATCCTTTATTTTTTACCATTTTTCAGTGGCAATTTTGGACCAAATACCTAAACCCAAACCGCCAAGCCCATTGAGCCCACGTCCATTTTCAATTTCAATTTCATCCCGATTTTTAAATTTTGTTTCAAACGTTTTCCATACAAAGCAAATACACTGCGCTCCTGCGTCCCTGCATCGTGTAGCTTGAGCGGGAGATCAGATTCCGAGAAAGAGAGAGAGATATGGAAACCATTTCTTCATCAGAATCAATTGATCTTGATTCTCTTCGCAGGTTTCTTTCCCCTTCTATATACAAATATTTCCATTTCTGTTTCAATACAATTTACTTTTTTAAGTTTTTATTTTTTGTTTGCGCGCTTTAATTTCAGTGGGATCAGAGAGCTCGAAGAAATTCACAGTAATTGCAATGAAGATATCGTCTGTGAAATTTCCTCTTCAGATTCTAACCAACTATTAAAAGACTGTGCTCTTCAGCTCGAGGTCAGCTTTTGAATCCTTTCCATTGTTTCCTGCTCTTTTCTTTTTTAATTTTTAATTTTCTTTTGCACCACAGTTCGCTGTTTACTTGCATATCTTTTTTAACTATAACTGGCAGAATTTTTATTTTTATTTTTTATGCAGAGTAAAGTGCAACAAATTGTGTCTGAGTGCTCTGACTTCAGTTTCTTAGGAATTGAAGATCTGGGTAAGTTTGTATTTCTCTTTTTATTTCCTCCTTTGTTTTCCTTCATTGCAGTTTAACCCTTTTAATATTTCTCATTTTTAAAAAATTTGGATGCCTGTTCAAAATTCAAAGGTAAGTGATGCTTATAAATTTTGTAAGAGTTCTTTCAATTTATATAAATTTTGGGTATTACAGGCAGCACTAAATCTATATTATCATAGGTTGTGTTTAGTTTATTCTTATTGATTTAGTAGCTTTCGCATGTCTTTAAGAGGATTTTTAATGGCAAAATGGAGTTCTTGCAGCCTGTTTTGAAATTTATTTTCTCTTTTTGGAGATTTAATAATTGTGAGTTTAGAATATTTATATTTGCGAACCTGAAATTTTATGTTAGAATGTGAGAATCTATTTCCTGTTCTGATTTTAGATTAGGGCATGTGTTGATGCAGATGCATTTGTAGAGCATTTGAAAGAGGAACTCAACACAGCAGAGGCTGAGAGTGCTAAGATATCCAGTGAAATTGAGGTTCTAACAAGAAACCATATGGAAGGTCAAAATTTATAATCGTTATTCTGACTTTTAACATTTAGCAAGCAGACACATTTATGGAGGTATGCATGTTTTTGCTGAACTAAGGTCATTTTATGTTTCCAGATTCTGTTCAATTGGAGAATGATATTGAATTATTGAAGTGTTCGTTAGATTTTGCAGCATTACAGGTTGGTTAGCTAATCAATGGAAATGCTAGTGTTTTCAAGAAAGATTCTTTAGCAGTAACATCATTTTGTTGACATAATTATGATTGTAACTCTTAATACTAGATTAGTGAAACTTTATCAATATTCCAATTGAATAGAGAAAGCAACTTTTGACAAGAACTTCCACTAACCTTTTTGATTCCCCTCAAATTCTGTGTCACTCTTATTTCTTCAGATATAATAACTGGACGACAATATAAACTATTGCATGAAGCTCAGCTTGTTTCCCTAGGAGCACTTCAAGTATTGATTCCGTCCATGATTTATTATACCATCACTTCCACATGCTTTATAGAAGAACATGTTGAGGTGTTAGTTATGTGCTTGAAGTTTGTTACTTTGAGCTTTTAATTTGAATCCAACATTTAGAACCAAGAATCAGAAATGCATTAGAATCTGACCTTCTGTTCATTGCAATCTGTGTTTTGTATAAATTTTCCTCAATATATAAGAACTTCTTTAGTCCCTCACATCCCATTTTCTGTATCTTTTGTAAGGATATGGAGAAAGAAAAAGAGCATGCTTGCGGAGAAGATATATCAAATTCAACAAATAAACTTGGAGAATATGAGTTTGAGGTATTATTATAATGACCCTTCAATTTACTGTCATTATTATTTGCACCCAGTGTAATGTTAGAATTTAAAATTGTGTGGGCAGACTCATAACATTTATGTAATGTTACCACCTTGATGTTGTGATGTGTGATAATATACAGATGTACTTACATATATGTGTACATGTTTGGTGTACATATCCAAATGTATTGCAATCCTTATCGACCTTGAGTTTGTAGAGCTAATGGCAATTCTGCTTACTTACTTACTGATTGTTTGGTCAATTTCTGAAATTGTTTCACTTTGTTGCTGTTCAAATACAAGTTTATGGGTATGTTCACCAACCTTGCAGATTTTGGAACTTCATAATCAGATTGAGGAAAGCAAAGTAATTTTGAAGAATTTACAAGATTTTGATTCTACTTTCAAAAGGCAACCAACTGATTCTGTACTTATTTTTATAGCTAATATATTTTGCACGACTCTTTTACATGTTTGTTTATCATTGTTATCAGGCTTGATACTATAGAACAAATTGAAGATACTATGTCAGGACTAAAAGTCATAGACTTTGATGGAACCAGTATTAGATTGTCATTGCGGACCTATCTTCCAAAATTAGAAGAGTTATTGTGCCAACAGAAGATTGAAGTCACTGCTGAGCCATCTGAAGTAAATCATGACTTGCTGATTGAAGTAGTTAATGGTACTATGGAGCTCAAGAATGTTGAGGTGTGGATACTTACTTCTCCTAAAATGATATTCAGTATTCTCCTCATTCATTTTGCTACTGATGAAAGCAAAAGGAAGGAGAAAGGAAAATAAAAAAAATAGGATGGCTGACCTCAATGGTTTCCTACAGTATTATATGGTTAAACGCAGTTTGTAATTGAAAACATTACATAATGTTAGATTGCAGATGGAGGAGTTTTGTAATTCTCCTTCTGTATGCGTGCCATCTGATATTGTCCTTCCTATTTATTGCTATTTGATGGATCCTGGGATATTTTTCTGACTCTCGTCAGTTTTATTCAGATGTTTCCAAATGATGTATTCATAGGTGATATCATTGATGCTGCAAAATCTTTCAGGTTTGTTTCATAATTATGTGAGCGGGATAATTATCCATCTTGCCTTAACGATATGGTGTATCAGCATTAATGCTTCCCCAAATCCATTGCTTTAGTTTCATTGGAAAATACTGTTTTGCTGTGTTGTAGGCAATTTTCACATTCGTCGTTTGTGGAAACCAGGTCCTCATTGGAATGGTTTGTAAGAAAAGTGCAAGATAGAATCATTCAGTGCACCTTGAGACGATTAGTGGTGAAGAATGCAAATAAATCAAGGTAAGGCTACTATATTCAAGGTAAAGTTTTCTAGTGTTATGGTTCTGAAATTGACACAAACCTATGGTGATATGAATAGATTGATGCAGATATATGATAATCTTAGTGAATAACATCATGATCCTTTGGAGTAGCTCTCTATTTTCTTAAAGCTTTTGTGGATTTTAGAATAACTTAGCTCCTAATGCAGGCACTCATTCGAGTACTTGGATAGAGATGAGATTGTTGTAGCTCATTTGGTTGGCGGAGTTGATGCATTTATAATGTTATGTCAAGGTTGGCCCTTATCAAAATCTCCGCTAAAGCTGATGTCCCTCAAAAGCTCAGATAACCATTCAAAAGAGATTTCATTAAGCTTTCTTTGCAAGGTTGAGGTGCGTAATTTTTGCTTTTGGATAAATTGTAATATTCTCACAAGTTGAAGCATCATGGTACCTCCAGTAGAATTTCCTAGTTGCCAAATAAGTTCCATTCATATATGATAACAATTCTTCTTTTATTTTTCTAATTTAAGAACTCAAGATGGCACAAGCACAATTAAAAAAAATGCAAGATTGACTTTGATAAAAGCCTGCATATTGCCTTCAAAAAATATATTTTATAATAAAAGTAGATTTCATTAGCTTTCTTTGCAAGGTTGAGGTGCGTAATTTTTTTGCTTTTGGATAAATTGGTAATAATTCTCACAGTTGAAGCATCATGGTACCTCAGTTAGAATTTCCTAGTTTGCCAAATAAGTTCCATTCATTTGTCATTCTTCATTTTTATTTTCTAATTCTAAGAACTCAAGATGGAACAAGCACAATTAAAAAATGCAAGATTGACTTTCTGATAAAAGCCTGCATATTGGCCATTCAAAAATATATTTTATAATAATATTATATATATATATATATATATAAATTATACAATTCAAATTTTTTATTGAATAATAACGCATTTTCGAAAGTAAAATAGCGAAGTTTTTTTCAAGTATATATAAATTATACAATTCACAATTTTTTGAATAATACCAATTTCCAAGTAACATAGCGAGTTTTTCAAGTTTTAATCATAAAGGCAAATTTTGTTAATGCTCTAAAACTCTAGTACCCTCCACGTACATACATACATACTATCTTGAGAACTACCTTATGTCCCCTGATGGATGATTTTCTTCGACCATAGATTGGCAAATAAAATAAATTGATTTCACAGTAAGAGAAAAATGGTTAAGGATGATGTATGCATGCCTGTTGTTTTATTCCCAAAGAATTGTAGGTTCAATTGAGCTTCTGGCAAAATGCTCCAAGCAAGGTACAACTGATAATCCGCTATCCATGTATTTGATTTTCATTTTCCGTTTGGTTTTTCTCTTCTGGTTAGGAAGTGGTTAATTCCTTGGACATACACATGCGGCTTAACTTGTTGAGCTTTGTGGATGCAATTGAAAAGCTACTTATGGAACAAATGCGCCTACAACTGCATTCAGACAGTGCTCCAAAAGTGTGACTACTGCTCTAACTTTAGATTATCACAGGGTACTATAAATTCCCAGATTTTTCAGCATTTGGTCTATATTGTATATATTTTTGAATACATTCTTTCTTCCAAATAATAGTCGTCTTGTCTCATCGATGATGTGCCGGAATGATATTTTTTGCAGCACAATTTTCTTATGGTTGTCAATCAATTTTCAAATAGTAGTTACTCAACTTGTGATCTGTAAGTCATAGATTCGAGCCACGGAAACAGCCTCTCTCTAAAAGTAGGGGGAGATTGCATATATGAATCCTCCCCAAAGACTATATGTGGGATGCTTTGTGCACTAGAATTGTCCTCTTTTTTTTTTTGTTTATTAATTTTCAATGTAATGGTTCTTGTGACGATTGTTTTTAGCTTGATAAGTTAATTTAACTGATCGTTAATCTACTAAAAACATATGTAAGCATGTGAGGTTACAGCAAAAAGGCAGCTCGGTTAATGTACTTCATTGCAGGTTAAAGTAGCAATTGTCTTGCACCTTGTGCTGCTGAAAGCCCATTTATATATTAGATAGTAAAATTAAAACTCCAAAATAAACATTAGGATATTGTAACTATAGATTTATAAAATATTATCAGTGGGTATTATAATGGGTATACACAAATAAGTATGATTTTTTGGCCTATTTTTTAAATTATTATTACCTCACTAATAAGTGTAATTACAAAGTCTTAAGAAAAATACGTTTTAAGGCAACATTATAACATAAATCTTGCAACAAAATAAGCTTTCTTTTGTATAATTACTAGAAAGGTATTAATTAAAAATAAGAAAATGCCATTACTTTATAAGCTATGATTCATTGATATGCAAAGTTAATTTTAGGGTGTTAATTTTCAAGTTTGAATCTAATTACTTAGTTAAAACATCATTAGTACTTTGTAATGGATTTTCATCATAAAAGAAGTAATCATAAATGAATATTCACAATTGAAATCCAACTAATAACCATTTAAAGATATGGAGAAAAAATATGAAAATAAATTGTCAGAAGTGGGATTTGAACCCACGCCCTCTTTCGAGGACCAGAACTTGAGTCTGGCGCCTTAGACCACTCGGCCATCCTGACCTGTTGAAAAATAGTTTGTTACAATTTTATATCACTTGTTTTATATATTTTTGTTTATTTGCCAACTCCTTAAACGCTTATTCATATTTCTTAAAGTACTATACTTACGAGGAAAATACTTGTAGAAGTGCCAATGTAATCTTTATATTTGCACTCTATTTTTATTTACATCTTAGGTATGTTTGATTGAAGGAACCATTTTGTCATTTGAACCATCACGATTGTTTGGCTGCAAGAAAGTAAAAAATTTAATTGTTCTTGTTTGCAAGCCACTAGAATAAATAGTGCACTGGATTAGTAAATATATATAATTTCATATAACACTGTGAGTGCCGTTTAGATTATTAAAAATAAAAATAATATAAAAATCTTGGTCCAAAGATAAGAAAATGAGGTGGGTATAAATGCAATTTATACTTTCTTTTTTCCTACAAAATGCTTTAATATCTAATAATCAATAGAACGAAAATGATTCATATAATGAACTCCAATTAATATAGCATTAAGATTTAATTATTGTTGCAGTATATACAAAGACAATTGTAGATATGTCCATTTCACATTTTATATAAAACAGAACGTAATTTAATCGTAGTTTGATGGTTGAAAATTTGCAAAGCGATGACCTACTAATTGATGTAAAGATAAGTTTCAAAGGAAACGTGTGTACAGGTCAATCAGATTTTATGTTAGGGGGCAAATCAGAATAAAGTTCAAATTCAGGGATCAATTGGATATTGTCTCAAATGATTGACTGGTTCACTTTGAATGAGAAAGATTGACGTTTGACTAAGTATTAATACAAAAGATGAAGATGAAGACGACGATTAATCATTTAAATTTCCTTGAAGAGCATTAACAGAAACTAAGAAACAAATCAAGCTGAAAGATCAGTCATGCCCAAGTTACCTCAGGAACTCATTGTAGAAATACTCTCAAGGTTACCTGTCAAGCCTCTGATACGATTCAAATGCGTATGCAAAACATGGCAATTTATAATCTCTGATCCTGAATTCGCCAAGCTCCAACTGAAAAGAGCAATGGAGAACAATAACAATGTTAACTGCTACAGAGTCCTCCTCTCAACTTGGCCGCCTCAATCTGTAGACTTCGAAGAACCATGTAATGGTGATATCAGTAATGCAGTAATAGAACTTCGCTATCCTGCGATAGTGAAAGGTCCTCCTAATGATTTTTATGTTGGAATTTTAGGATCTTGTAATGGCCTGGTTTGTTTACTTGATGCATATGGAAGCATGTTCTTATGGAATCCGACTACCGGAAAATATAAGGAATTGCCAAAACCTGATGGTGCTCGCTATGGTATGTATCTCCACGGTCTAGGGTATAATTTCTCTACTGATGATTATGTAGTGTTATTTGCTAGCCATTTTACTTCTAATGATTCTAAAGAAACTATTTTTGAACTTTATACATTAAAAACTGGAATTTGGAGAAGAATTGAAGACACTGATTTAGCTCCTCAATTTTGTGGAAGATCAGGACTTTATTGGAATGGAGCTCTATATTGGCTAGAAATAAAAGAAAGTGGCAACAACGAAGTTTTTTTTGTTGTTGCTTTTGATATAGTTGAGGAGAAGTTCAAGGAGGTCATGACATTACCATATGATGTCAATTCACACGATTTAAGTTTGGGAATTTCAGGAAATTGTTTATGTATATTTGTTGAACATACAGAAATTTGTTTTGAGGCTTTGATGTTGAATGTGAATGCTACAGAAGCATCTTGGACTAGACTGTTTAGTTTTCCTCATTACGGGTTTGGTGGCTACTCCAATATACCTTTATGCTTGGCAAAGAATGAAGAAGTTGTTATGGATTCTGATGGCTGGGAAATATACTTGTACAATCCAAAAGACAGGAAATTTAAGCATTTTAAAGTGCAAAATTATATGGATTCTAAATCAGAATTATATATTGAAAGTTTAGTTTCACCCTACAATTAAGAGATTACACAAGAACGTTTTGTAATTTGTATCTTTGTTGGTTGTGTTAGATGAACCTCTTACAAGAAGCTTTGTAATGCTTTTGTTTTGCTTGTACTGTAATGCTTTTGTTTTGCTTGTACTGTACATATAAAACCAGCAGGAATAACATGATTTTGAAATAATAGAAGCTTTTTTATTTTTTATTACACGCAGAAACTCACAATTCTAAAGAGAATTCTAAAAATAATGATTCAAAGGTCTTATTTTCGAATTTATTATTTCTGCAAAGCTTATTAATTTATCCAGAGTGATAGGTTTTTCACTATTGAACTCTTCAAGAAAAAAAAAAAAATCTTTAGAAATTGAGACATGACATGTCTGACAGCAAGGTGAAATGCAAACAATTCAAGAATCCCAAATGCAACTAAGAGAGAAAGCTCCTTGCAATGCATCCAGAACATCCTAATTTGGTAATTTTGTAGGTTATAATACATGTTTTCCTGACTGTTCCAGATCTGATCACAAGTTTTCAATATTTTTTGGCTTAAACCTATCCAAGCAAATGTAGAAATATTAGTTTATTGCAGCTGACAACAGTTTTGCATTTTACTGATGTCTACAACATATTTCCAAATAAAGCTCACATCAAAACTGTTTTTATTAATCCAGAAAAGCAATGCTGCTATTGCAAACAGGAAAAGTATGAAATTAATGTTGAAAGAAAACCCATGAGGGACAGCTTTTATCTGGAAACAGGTTAGAAGAACATTGTTTCCGACATCCCAAGTTATGCTATACCTGAAATTGTTTCTTCCTTCTCAAGTTCTGCTACAACTTATTGCCCCAACCATTTGGTCTTTATTCCATTATATTCGCAAGCAGAAACAACAAAAAGCTAAGCCAAACAGGAAAATTCTATAGGAAAAGAAAAATGATAAAGGCACGTTATGTTATCATAAATCAAACTCAATGGCAACAGTAATAGAAGGTACCTGATTAAAGTCTCCATGCAAATTTTCGACGCCGTTCCACATAATCTTCTATTCTTCATCTGAAATGTCGCACCTTTGCATTTTCTCATGGAATCACTTGCATGCATATGAAACTGAAAAGAAGATTTCTAGTTTGCCTGTTGGGAGGTGAGGGCATGGGTGAGCCCGAATTTCTCAAGAGATTCCTAACAAAAACATGAAGAAGAATCTTCAAGTTTGTCTAAGCTCAGGGTCAGGGCGAAGGAGAGGGAATCATACTGAGATTGACCCAAACAAAGAGAGAGTTAGAATGGCTGAAAAGTTTGTTTATGTCAGTCATCATGTTGCAGTAGAATGATAAGAGGCTCATAGGTCTCCACATAATTGAACATCTCTCACTTATGAATGGATGTAAATTTGAGTCTCTCCACTTGCAGTCAATAATAATATATCAAAGAACGGTACGCTTTGCATTATTATACAGTATAATAGGGGTAAAACTTTTTGAATGGACAAAAAATAGAGAATTAAAATTTTAATATCACAAATAAGATTTTTTTATCCGCAAATTTCAGATAAAGTTATATTATCAATCCATCTCACTAAAATACCCTTGGGATGTCATTGAGAAACATTGACTAGCAATTGTCCTATTGGCTTCTCTATTGACATACATATGAAGCAGATGGTATTACCATTGTAACACAGAATTTTAGTTCTCTTGGTACTCTTGCGTATTACAAATCCCCTCAATTACTCGGGTATTAAGGTTCAGTTTGTCTCACAGGAAAATGTTTTCTCAGATAATGCATCCAGCTATCTAGGTACTTTAGGAAAATGGATCAAAAGAAAAGTTTAAAACGGTCAACTGAAAATTAAACCATTGTCAAAGAAAATGACTTCTTTTTTTCAAGATAGGAATTCATTTTCCAGGCATGAACAAACTTATTAAACACATATCCAGTAGTCTACTATCCATATTGACTTCTCAATACACATGTTTGAACTCTACTTTCCATCTCTTTAAAGTTTCATACTCACTTGTCTGTTATGGTCCTTCACTACATAAATAACAAAGTAAATAATACAAGAGGAATAGAGAAAGAGGAAAGAGATACAGTTAGATCCAGAAAGAGTTGATTTATATTTAACAAATATAGTTACAAGAAAAATTTAAACCAATAAATATCTTCCTTATTGACTAAAATTCGCACTGAACAGATAGATATACAAGCATATGTAATCAAGAATACATGATAAAATGCAATTAATAGTGCTCTGACCTTTACACCTTGTCACCAACAGAAACAAGGAACTATATTTCCTTGTTATTTAAGCTTGCCGAGAAGATTATGGGGTTGAGATAAGGCATCATCCATCAACAATAAATTGATCATCTTGAGTATCTCCATCAACCCTGGTATCCTCATGCACCATACCATTCACATGGTGCAAATTCTGCATCATTTGTGAAAGATAATGGTTGCTAGCACCGGTATGATCAGAGAGTCCAGTTGGATGACCAGTCCACTGTGAAACAATTCCAAGCAATTGGCTTGTAAGGTTTTGTTGCTCATGAAGAATTCGGGTCTGAATCTGCCCCATTTCTGCTCGGTGTTGATTTAACATTCCATCAATCCTCTTCTTCCATTCTGACCTCCTCCTGTTCATCCTCTCCTCCCATTCTTTCTCTTGAATCAACTCATCCTCTCTTCTCCTTCTTTCCCTCTCTTCACTCTCCTTTTCCATGGCTCTCCATTCTTGATATCTTTGCCACCTCAATTTTTCTCTACCTTTTTCCCTTTCTTCCCTCTCTTTTTCCCTCTCTTCCAGCTTCCTTTCCCATTCCTGCTCCCTTTCAATTCGAATATTCTCCCTGCTCTGCCTCTCTCGCTCTCTCCCTGCTTCATGTTGCTCAAACCGAGCCTCCATGTCTCTTAACTGTCCCATTTGGTTTGAGAGGAACCCAAATACCCTCTTCTCCAATCCTTTCAACACCTTCCTCTTCTTCTTCTTCAAATTAGACACATTTGCTTCCACTTCTTCATACATGAAGCCATCCTCCCCTTCCTCTCGTACTCGATCATTACTATTATAATTTTCTTCTGCCTCTTCTCCTTCATAATCAAAGCCTAAACCCAGCATTCCATTCTCACCACCATCAATTCCAGCAAAATCCCCATCTGCTGAATTACCCATTTGTCCAAACTCCACAAGCTCCATTCCTCTACCAGCCCCCAACAAACCCCCACCATTTTCCCTCTCCTCATTCAAGACTCCTGTTAAATCACTTCCATTACTACCATTAGCACTATATGCAATAGGCACATCACCAAAGACCTCCTTGTATAGCAAAAAATTTGACCAATGCGTAAGCCCTTCTACCCAGTCAAACTCATCCCCATTACCACATTCTCCACCACCACCTGAATTTTCTACAGCAGAGAGCTCCGGCTTCTTGATCTTTTGCTTAACAAGCAAGTATTGGTGTCTCATGTTTTGTACTTTAGTAGACACATCTTTCCATGTCCACTGCCAGGGATAGGCGATAGGATCCCGAACATGATGCACATAATTCACATACAAAGCAATTGGTTTATATTTCTTTTCTCTAGTTTTCATTTTTACAAGGGTCCCATTAGAGACCATTTCTCCGTATTTTTCGATTAGGGTTTTTTCTTCTGCTTCTGTCCATTTCTTTCTTCTTGGAGGCATCATCACACAACAAAATATCGATACCAATGTCACAAACACTAGCCCTAACACTTAATTCTTCAACATTTGAAACTCTAACATCATAAAGTACTAATTTTTGTTACATAGAACAAAAAGCTCAATCAAGACCTACACAGATGAGGAAACCAACGAAATGAGCAAAAATAGAGAGAAATTACTCACCCTGAAGTGACTTAGAATTATTGCGTGGGACTGAGATGTTTCCTCAAAGCATAATGGTGGAGGGATTTTCTCGAGAAAATTTAGATAGAAAGTCAGGGAATCTATGGGAAAGTGATCTGGTTTTACTACTTTTGAAATGAAAGTGAATTTTCTCTCTTCCCTACACTCAAACAGTAGCTTTTTTTTTTTTTCCCACTTTCGATTAAAAATTAAACTGTGTGATAATTGGACAATGAAATGTTTTTTTTCTCAGCGGGCTGTCGTTGGCCAGTCACTTTTGTCGTTCGGTAATTTCATTGTCTCAAGTGAATGAATGACTTATCAGTCATGTCGTTCCCCAAATTTGATTAGAAAGCCCACGGCAAGGCCAAACATGACAATCTACCCAACCCAATATCAAAACAAGCCCAATGCCATAAAAATATCGACCTGTCGTTTTGATAGGTTTTTTAAAGGAATTAATAGAGTATTTTCCTGAATAGCTTGTCCTACTTTTCTTTTTTAAAGGAAATATGGTTTTGTTATTTCTTTTTAATGGAGAGTCATGGTTTCCATCCTCCTATAAATTTAGCTTTGATTGTAAGTTTAAAAATTTATACATATACATATACAATAGCAATATTAATTTAGAAAAAGACACTATAATAAATTAATATTCTTCATAACCTCTCTCCCCAGTCTTTTAAAGTCCATGGAAGATTCCAGACTTAACTTTGTTACTGTCCTTATCTAGGAGAAATTAAATAAGCTCTTTTGTTTTGAATGATTGTATAATCTTATGTTAATAGACATGGTAATCAATTTCTGTTGGAAAATTACCTTATATTAATAATAATATTTTTTTAGTGGAAATCATTCGGTATTCCAAATAGATTAATAATAATAAATTATTTTCGGTAGAAACCATACAGTATCTGAAGACCTTACGTCAATAAAGCCTACGAAGTGGGTAGAAGGCTTCTTATCAAGTTTTAAAGGTACTTCTTAGATTCAAATTTTAGACTTCTGATTAAAGAGAAAACCATTGCCATTTTGTCTCACCCTCTAGTGGTTTCACTTTTATCGGGTACGAGCCTCGACACGAAGTGACAATGCTTTAAGTATGCATGTCTTTAGATTATCAAAATTTGCTTACAGAAGAAACAATGGAATAAAATAACTTTGAATTGAAGTGCAAATCTTAAATTTTCTGAATTTCTATTACAGAGTAAAAATGGAGAGAGAATGAAGAAAATAGAAAACTGTCAGGATGAATGTTATTGGGGATGGTTTTTAGAGAGGCTCAGTGAGCTGCTGATGAACATAAATTAGATTATACATTGAATTATATCCTGATGGGAGGAAAATTTTCCATCATGTAAGGACTAAGATTAAGATAATTATGTACTTATATGTTTAAAATCATAGTTTTAAGAGCAAATACTAATTGAAGGTGAGAAAATCTATATGTAGTAAAGGAATGAGTTTTCATTATTTCATAGTAAATTTTTCATATCCCAAGCCATGCATGAAGCATTTTTATTTTATCATTATTAGCTTTCATGACTAATGGACATTATTTCCAAGTAGGATTCCCATTCCCTAAACCTAAAATTTTATGCTATTTTTTGCACTGAAAATTGCAAAATAAAAACAGTGAGTGAGAGGTGCATTCTTCAGATTCAAATATCAACTAATCTGTACTAATTTTAAAAACCTCTAATCATCTTTCCCCAACATATTCACATACTACCAAAAGAAATAGCAAAAAGGAAAAGCTGTCACTAAGTAGAATCAGAATCCCTACGCATATCATCATCAGCATGTCTCCATATCTTTCATGTCATGAAATATTTGTCTACCTTCATATGCCTCCAGTTTTCTAATTGTCAAGCACATATCTAGCAGCTACTAAAATGTTTCCTCTGTATCCTTGCATAAAAGGAAAAAGGATCTTCACATTTTTGAAAGTAGAATCTCTTGAGACCATAGACCATAAAACTGAAAATTGTCCATCCCATTGCTTAAAAGCTTTTGATAGATGTTGCTACCGAGAATTGAAGATCACATGGGAATTCGTGTTTGTAAAAACTGGAGATTCCACAGTTGAGGTATTTGTGTTCGTTAAAGCATTGGGTTCTTCTGATGGACTTGGACTATCTCCCATATCCTTAGTTCTATGAAGGAGAAATGTACCTGATAAGATTGTGACAAAACCACACAACTCTGTTGCAATCTGTGATGCGTCTTGTGAGTCCCACTCCTGCACCAGACACAAAAAAGGGTAAAAACATCTGATTATTAGATAACCCTCGAAATCCAGTGAAATTTCATTGACTCCTGTGTAGTATTATCATAACCAAGCAGTATATTGTAGTCAATTATAAGCAAGAAAGCAACATAGTGCTTTCCGAGTATAGTGTCACGACAGAATAAATCACTTTTGAGCCAAAGACAGCAAGGCTATGTATGGTGAGCTGTGATAGAATATAGTGTAATATAATCAAAGACATTTTGTATAAGGGAGCTGTACGGTTTTAAAAAGTGTCAAGCCTGCTTCATCCTCATAAGAGGATCCTTTTCACTCTTCAAAGCAGGTGCAACATGTTTTTGGGTCATTGAGGCACGAATCGACATGACAGTAAACCTCTGTCTTAAACATGTATAGGCTATTTGCTATCCTTCTAAACCAATACCTCAAAATTCAAGAAGACTGTATATAGGGAAAACACTGTGGAACTACATTACTGCCATGCCATTACTATTTTGTCTACTTCCCTAGGTCTAGATTTTGCATCCCAAAGGCTTTGTAATTCTCATCCTTTGTGCTCATAATACTAAATTTGAAAGCAATATTCCCTGAAACCCCAAATTTTTAATCCATTCTAAATGTTGTAGTGAATCTTACTTATGCGCATCATAAAGAGATATGCATGCAAGTTCTAAAATCTCAGAGCCCCACATGTAATATCTGGAAGACAAATAAAATATTACCTTAAACATGATCATGCTGGCAATTATGGTGAATGTTGTGAACATGACATAATAAACTGGAGAAACGACAGCTGTCTTGAAGTTGTCCAGTGCCTGTAAAGATACATTCAGATGTAGGTTAAGCATTTGCCTGACAGAGGTGGAATATGTTTGCTTAACCAAGTTAAATGGTGAAAATTTGACTAAAAGGTGTCCACTAAAGCAATTGGATAATTTCAGCAGTTATTTGCGTGGGAGTATAAACTATGTCCAAACAGGTAGAAAATGAACAGAAGAGTTTAATAACCATCAAATGAAACAAAAAGACATGCTTCCAAAAATCGAATGCAAGTTAGCACAAAAGGATTGTTTAAGAACAATCTTTACTTTCTGACAAGCGGAAGTCATATGATTGTTTCAGCAGAAAAAGATGCTGGACAAAATGTTATCAGGTGAACAAGATATATAAAATGTCAAAAAACAGAATTATAAGAGAGAATATTTATGTGTGCAAACATGTACAATTGCCAGTATAAGGTTCTAGCAGCCAGACACTTGCAGCATATATCATTCGGCACCTTCATAGTTCATTTCAATCTTATATTAAAATAAGGAGTCTCTAAATTACCTTGTTCAAATAGTTCACCTGCAAAAGACAAAAAACCACCACTATAATAGTGAAAAGCCATGTCTGAAAGTAGATAAATTGATTTGATCCAGAAAAAGTCAGCTTTAAAGCAATTCCCACTGCTTTCACGCTCATGACCTGCATAAATTCAAAACGTTAGTAACATCACAGAAATTTCATAATCTTAACAACCTTCAAAGAAATATAACAGACCGTAAGGGAGCCAGTAAGAGAGCAAATTCCAACATAAACTATCATATGGGTTTGTCCGTAGAGTGGTACATAGCGAAAAATGAGTACAGCAACTGCAATCAGTACTATGACAGTATAGACAAGGAAACCTGTTTAAAAAAAAAAAAAAATCATCTTAGTTTGATATGACTTATAGGATTCATAAATTTTGTTATGTCAAAATCCTTGTTTATATTGCATGAAACTTATGAAATAACAAATCCAGTCAACTTATCAAATATAGAAGTAATTATGTTATCAACGAGAAAAAGGAAAAAAACAGGACAGAAGTTTCCAAACCATGCTCCTTGTGGAATGGATTGAAATACACACTATACCACTAATGCCTTTCTCTAGAATGACATTTAAGTTTCAGAGACTTCATTCGACATCTCCCAATAAGATCACAGCAGGGTCTCTAACTGGCAAAACTTATAATTTGCATCTAATCTAACTGATGGCTTTGGCTTCTCTATGCACGTGCCAACAATGAGAGAGTATTTGTTTAAATGTCATCCACCTTTATCTGCATAATAATCTCCATCCATTCAAATAAAGCTGACTATGTTCAACATTTTTCACCACACAAAGAAGAGCTTCAGCAGTAACAAAATAAACAATGTTACACCTCTCTTTTTTTCAATTATCAAGGAAGATCATTGATTAGGTTTCTGTCTGAATTGAAGATCATTGGTCCATTTCTGTCTATAGTATAATGTCAAATGGATTTCCTGTATAATTTTCTAGAATACAGAATAGCAAACATAGAATCTATTAATTCTTCATTAAGAGGCAAAAATTCGAATAGAAAGTACACTTGGAAGAGTTTCATGCTCCCCATTACACAACTACGTACCCAGAAACCATGAGCATGGAGTATGGCAATAAGTCATGCAGGGTTTTCTTTTTGTTCTTATAATATGTGAAAAAAACTGAGCATAAGTCTGAAAGTATTAAAAGTAAGCAACTGCAGTATAACTTCGCAAATACCTGGCTCTGTAGCAAGGTACCATACTTGCTTAACAGATTCAATGGCTCTCTCTTGTGGAGCATGCAAAACAATGGTTGTAGATCCCACTACACAAAGAACACATCCAAGCACACCAACAGTATGCAGTTTCTCCTTCAGAATAAAATGGGCTAGCACAGCACTGCAGAATAATGATTTAATCAGAAATACATAGCATTCATCCATAGACTTGCACCTTACCCCTGGATGGACATGAAATGAAAGAGGAAAAGGTAAGAACACCCATTGATGTGCTGCTGCCGTATAAAGATGCATCTCACCTGAAAATAATACTCAAAGCTCCCAAGGGTGTGACTAGAATCGCAGGTGCAAATGCATAAGCAGCAAAATTAGCTGCTTCCCCAGCAATCACTACAAAAACACATATAAATGTGACATAATTAAAGAATTATTACAATGCTATAAGTAAATTGAGGAAAAAAGCTGGTCTATACAGATCAGTAGATAATAGCAATAGGTTAGAATCCTTAATCAAATTGATCAATTTAGCATGCACCACTTAGAAGCTTCTTGCCACAAATTTGGAAATTTTAAATTCTTAAAAAAACATATTACTAAGGTCGCAAGTGTTCTTTGGAGGTGGGTATGTTACATTTAGACTTGAGAGAAAAATAGCTAGGCAATGCTCATGATCTTTTTCCAGTCACCCATACCAACCATACTGAATTTCAGTGTTCATGAAAGAATAATTTCATCCACATATTGTCTGCATATATGCAAATGTGCATGAGATGTTTTCATTGGGTTATACACAAATTAAAAATTAAAGAAAATTACCAATAAGCTTTGACTCAGCGGTGCTGGAGTTGTCTCTCAGCTAACAAAGTCAAACTCAAAGGCAAATTAAAAGGAAAACATAATGTTGAACTTACTAGATATCATCCCAGCCCACCACCAGGGTTCACGTAAGTATGAATGCCCGCCCATACCTGATCACATATAACCAATTACTTGAAAACAAAATAAACTTAACCAAGAAACACTGCAAGAACTCTACAAAAATTTCGATACTACTATTAAAATCCATGCACAAAGCTCAAAAAGTTTAACAAAATTATGTACCTGTACAGTATTAGATATGTGTTACTGTGTAAAGAAAACAAAAATTGGCAGTAATACAAAGGAATTGAACCTGCTCTGGTTCCATGAGCACCAGCCTTTTTGAGACCTTTCTTTTTTATGATAAAGCTAGAACCAATAAAAATGCTCGATGAAATGGCCAAAACAAGTCCATGAAAGTTGTCTTTTGATACCCCCATCGATGAAAAAAATAAGAACTGGAGCACAATTTCCAAATTTGCAGGGCCAAGATCTCCAATCCCAACTCCTACAACAACCCATAAAATACAATTAAAATTTAAAAAAAAAAAATCAAAACCATAAACTCATTAACATGATAAAGCCTATAAAACAAACATAAAATAATAATAATAATAATAATAATAATAATAATAATAATAATTAAAATTTCATTTAAGACCATATTTTAGCAATGGAGAGAAACCCACCTTCTCTTGGCACACTGCAGATGGGAATGGGGTTAAAGACCCACCTCCATAATGCCAAGAAATGGATGGCCTGATGGTGATTTTGTTATCTGAGAATGATCCGAGACGTGTAAAGAGAAACTTTTACGTACACTTTATCTTTTTTTTTTTTTTTGGTTTAACTTTTACGTTACACTTATCTTTTTTTTTTTTTTTTTTTGGTTTATTTTGGGTTTGGAGGAGGGCTTTAATTTCTCCTCCAGAGAAGGAAAGAAAACTAAACAATTAAGTAATGCAAGCGGTTATATGTTATTTATGGAAGGATTGTGAAGCAGGCATAGAAAGAGAAGAAAGGTTTTTTTTTTTTTTTTTGGTTTATTTTGGGTTTGGAGGAGGGCTTAATTTCTCTCCAGAGAAGGAAAGAAACAACAATTAAGTAATGCAAGCGTTATATGTTATATTATGGAAGGATTGTGAAGAGGCATAGAAAGAGAAGAAAAGGTTGAAGAAGCAGCAACGGTCAGTCTGTTACAGAAAGTGCAAGAGAAACTAATAGAGAAAATAGTTCAAAACACCCAACAATTTTGGAACGAAGAGACCAATCCAAATTTGTTAGAAAAAATTTTAATTGAATTTAACTAAAAGAGTCATGAATTTGGTTTAGTAATTCATTTAAACTGAATAATTTTCACCCCTCAGAATATATATATATATAAATAATATCTTTCTTACATAAATTACTTGCTAATTAATTATGAGCGTGCGAGAGATTTATGAATTAACATGTTTTATATGGTCGGTCTCCTCATCCTTAAATTTATTATTTTCAAGGCACACTCATTTATTAAAAAGATCACATTAACAATTTTGATACAATTTTTATATTTATTAATTTTTCAAAGAAATTTATTTCCTGATATAAGCCGTCTCTTTCTAATCTGATTTGACGGTGAACCTTACCTTGATTGGCAGCTTCACGAGTGGCGGCAAACTGAAAGAGTTCAGATTGTGGGACCCACGCCGAGATTTGCTCTTTTTGACCACCCTAATGACTTGTCGTAGAGATGGCGATTCATAATAATACGTGCCTCGATTCTCAGACTAAACTATAGATATTTTCTGTTTCTATAAAAACAAATAATAACAATATACTATGATCATAAATTATTAATTCTTTTTCTTTCCGAAAAGAGAAAGAATACTTTTTTTCTCCAATATTATTAAATATATATATATATCAGTATAAAATTATGAATATATTTAATTTTAATGGATAAAAAGAAGAAATTTTTAAATAATATACTGACAACAATAAAATGACAAATACCCAATTCCTGGACTAAAAAGACCTGGGCTCATTTCGTAATTTGATCACTAATTTCATCTGGCTCTGTTTCGTACACGTAAATAATGCCCCCTTTTTGGAGGCTTGTAATGCAACAAATCAGCTTCTGTCCAAATTTTTACGCCTGATACCCCACAAATAGTTTTGAGAGGGGCGAGGAAGGGGCAAAATTGATTAGATTTGAACTTGATAAGGGATACAAGCCTAACATATTCTTCAAACTAAAGCCTATTGTACAAATTCTCGAAAGAAAGGGGTCAGAAAGGGCTTTGGAGCTAGCCAATTTCCAAAGGACGCGGTCCAAATTTTATGCTTCCACAGTCTTCCGTTTCCACCACCAACCTCATGAGCAACAAACTTCAAAACGCTTCTTCTAGATGATCACTAGCAACGGGAACTCGTAAAATGGGAAGGACTTCTCAAAAATGAAGTCCCCCGGCCAATGGGTATAGTGATATAGCCAAAGCAGAAGAAGCTGGGTTCTGTTCTTTGTGGTCCAGCAGATCAATTGACATGTGAATAAACATTCTTCAGTTTTCAATGCATCCATCTGGCCATTTTCATCGTCATTATCTTCCTTTTCTTGTGGGCACGATGCTTTTCTGCCATCCGTAGCTTCCTCTTAGCATTTCGCATTGGGTTGACGACAGCCATGACCTTTTCTTCTTGTTTCCGCTTGTCCCTCTTTACCTTAATACCTTTCCTTATCTCACTATAAAGCTGTACAAAATTTTGGATGCCTAAAGCATTCCGCATATTTTCGCGTACGTCTTGTGCTAGTTGCTTCACATCATCTGAAAGACATGGCAACAAGTTCATGTCAGCAGCGAATTGTATGTGAAAAGCAAAATTCATTTGATATATACTAGGAGATATATAATACAACGTAACCATCAAATGAATAACGAAAACAGAACCAGCCACCCTGAAAAAAAGAGTGACTAAGTTATAAACTATCTTTCAGACTTCAACTTCCATGTTTTCAAAGTAATAATTATTACAACAGCAATAATGATGACAGTATAAATATGAATGAGAACCTAAACATTTTTGAGAATGCAATCTATTGGTTCTTGATGTGGGAAATCCCCAATTGCTTAAATGCTACTAAACTCGGCTAAAGAGCCTAATGTTTATATGAGCATTTCTGGACAAAAACATGATGTATGGTAGTACTATAAAAAAGAGGAGTCATGTATCGAAAAGAGAAAGGACACGAGGAAATATACCAACTCCAGATCTCAAAATGATTTCTCGGACACAATACTTCCTTTTTTCTATGTGTCAAATGAATTGAAGCCAATAAAGAATTAGCCGAAAAGCATGGAAACAAATCAAAAGCGGAATTAGTCATCCCCATACTTAGAGATGGAATTACATAGGGGACTAAAGAGAGGAAGAATAAACTGACCAGGGATGACCTTCCCAGCAAATCCTTCACAAACTTTATACAAAGGCAGCAATATGTCAAATGCGTAATGTTGCAACTCATCCTGGTGGATTTGCAAAGAAATCTTTCCAAAGCTATTGAAGACGATTTTCATCTGCATGCAACCATTCAACATTAGACAATAATAATTACTTGAGCAGGGGAAAAAAAATCCTCTAATTTCAAGTTATAGAAGGAAAACCAAAAGAAAATTCACAGATATCTTCACCAAGCTTATTAATTCAGATGCAACACCATCTCCAACTAACCTGAATAGCTTCCATTTGAAGAGCAATTTTACCCATTTTTTTAATTAAATTAGAGATGAGCAAATATTGGAGATTTTCAGACTGCTCTCCATCATCTCCACCACGAACACCAGAGATAACATTTAAGAAGATGTCCTTTGCTTTCCTTGAATCCAGTAACCGAAAGGCTTCAAGAAATAGGCGCTGTTCCTGCTGTTCAAGTGTAGACCAGAACACAAATGGATCTGCACATTCCGCTTTTCCCATCAAAGAATGGATAGCACAAATTGTAAAGACAATATTCTGTGTAATCAGGTTATCTGTAGTATCATCAATGGCTTGTGTTTTCAGTTGGCAGCAGAGAGAAACAGCTATCATAAAAAGCCTATGTGGCTTCATAAGGAAAAAAGTTCCAAATGATTTTTCATGACTGTCTCTTCTGGCCTCAGTTGCAGCAGCAAAGTAAAAAGCCACAAGGCGACTAGATATGTTGCGTAACCATAGGTGTGGATGTAAGAGCAATTTGCATACAGCTTCCCATATATCCTGTGAAACAAAAGAGAAAGAAGGGAGAGAGACGGAAAGAAGTTAGCATATAATTGAAGTGGCGTGGAACTGGAAGGGTCGAGGTAAATGTAAAGCCACGGACCACAAAAGAGCAGAAAATCCGTAAAGAATAAATTCACAATTCAAACCAATTGACAGCAACATGGCGTTGTAGAAGATTTTATTGTAATGTGGACAGATGATATCAACAATAATGCCATAAATAAATGTGAATCAAATTACAATTCAAGAATGCAACCTTCATGGACAAATGATTTTGAGAATAAAACTAGTCCTCTATAATCATACATTTACCAATTGGTAACAGGTGAATCCCCGAATTACTTTTTCTAATTGACCCCGGAAAGATAATTTACCTAAGAAAATAGAAGTTGCTGGCATGTAATGGACTACAATGCCAAGAACAATGGAAAACTAGATATAGGCGTATAAACATAAAATTATGCACTTCTGCCAAAGCAATGTACTGAATGTGAAATCAGGATATTCAACCTTAAGTTAATGATGAGTGTTAAATTAATTTCAACAGACACTATCCTCAAAGCTCCAATTGACAATCTATAATGACCCTTTATAGGCCTCAATAAATCTCATTGACACCTTTATTCTTGAGCCTATTTTTCTAAATTTTTGCCCCAAACAACAATACCGTTTATCCATAAAATGAATATGCAACTTAATATATAATTAATTACGACATTTGAAGCACAGTATATTTCACTGTAGTATCTGCGGTTACCCATACCTCGAAACGATTTTCAAAGCTGAGATCTGGAAAATGATGTAGAATCTTCTCCAACAAAACTAATGAATAATATGCCTCTTTCCAGAGGGGAACAGAATCATCAGAAAGATCTAGGAATGGACCATCAGCAACTACATCGGCAGCAGCCTGCAAAATAGTTTTACTCACAGGCAATATACTGCTAATATGCTTTTGAAAGCTTTTATTCAAGACCTCTACCAGTAATCCCATGACCTGCACATACAAAATAGGAGGCCATTTGAAAATGGATGTAGCAAGAGAAAAAATCTGAACTTAAAGGGAAATGTTTCCATCAGTTCAAGCCCATATAGATTATAAATTGCAAATTTTGGACAGTAACAGTGCAACACGAGACATTAAAAAATGATCTGATTAAGCCCATGCAACAACATCTCCTTATCCCATTATACTCAAGAATGCATCATGCAAGCCGGTATACTACGACGCACACCATTATATCAGATGCATCTTGCCATCTTCCCAGAACCCCTCACACCATAGAAGGCTATTGACTGGCTGTTATATATCAATAGCCTTCTTGCAGACGAAACACTTGGAGAATGTAGCATGAAAACAACAGATATGTGTCCCTATAAACTCGCATCTGAAAATCGTACCCTTATTTTTATGCATACAAATATGCTGTTGGTAGAGTTCTTGAAACCAGATCTAATCTTACCACAATTTACCATTTATTACATGTATCAGAAATTTTACCTGTGCACCAATACTCTGGAGTCGCCGCTTTTCATCCACATACCAGGATAGACTAAAGTCGAGCATGGAATCTAGTGTATGAGGACTTACACGGCCAATCAGAAGCTTTAAAACTGTACCAGTCATTGAACGGACTTTAGTATCACTGTCATTGACCAAAGATTGCACCAAATGGATAAATATTGTTTGTGCTTGTTTCTCCAGAAAGTTCCTAGGAAATTTGATAATTATAGCGTGGATCATTTCGAGTACAGCTTCTCTTCCAGTTGAATACTCATAACTGCAAGAATAGCAAGTCAGTACGCCATATACATATATGTAGACACATATAATAAACAAAAATGTGTTCAACTGATGGACATACCTCAAATTCCTGAGCAGAAAATCTAAATGTTGTTGCAAATATGTTCCTGAAAGATGATAATCTAGCAAGAATTGCAATAAAATCTGACTGCATTTCTTACGAATTGGATCCACTTGACTTGTAACCATCAGTTCTGCAATGCGAATCATAAGATCATATATCTCAGGAACAACCAGCTTCCGATTAACTACTGCTTTTAAAACTGAGAGGGCAGTGAAAGAGGGATTCCTCTCCAGATCAACAAACAGTGGAAACTGAATTAGCAGATGCAGTTGATCAGACGAAAGGGTAATTTTTGTACTCCGCATGAGTACAGTTAACATTTTTAGACATGATTGCATCAGAGAATTGTTGGCATTTACAGAACTTTGGGCGATACCCAACAGCGTCACCTTTATTTTATCAGCCTGAGATGCAAGGGAAGGCAGGGGAAGCCTTACCAATGGCGTAAGACATCTAAGGGATGCAGATAAAATATCTTCGTACCTAGAACTTAAGCAGTTGCCAAGCAGTTTAACAAAGGGATCCAACATTGACAGAAGTTCTTCATCACTTTTATCCAATTTTACACTCTTCATTCGGTTATATAATAACTCCAGAGCAAACACTGCAATGAGATGCGAGCATCCTGATTTAGTTCCAATAACTCCACCAGCAGAAACTGCTTTATCATTCACACCATGTCTAGAGCGAGGCATCAAGTCAAAACTAGAAGCATTTGTAACCCGACCATTCTCCTCATTGATCCCATCCTCGATAAATCCATATATAAAAATAAATAGATCAGTTTGATCAACAGATGGATTACACTCAATACCAGCCGCTATGTGATTCAACATGCTTTCCAATTTGGTTTTCAGTTTAGGAGTCAGATGTTTCTGCATATGAGCTTTAACTGGAGATAGAAGTTTCAAGCCGTGACTTTTGAATGTTATGTTTTGAGCAATTATTTTCAAGGTTTCAAAGGACTTCACCTTCCTAGTTTCTTTCATTTTAGAAGCAATCTTTTCAACTTCTTTTTCCTCAGCAACATCCCCAAGAATATCATTCTCTACCACAGAAAGGAGATCTTCCACACAATAATCCAACTTCCCATTAATGTGATATGAAAGAAGCTTCGACAAAATAAAATTGAGACTATATCCCAACACATGGAGCTCAAATCCCCGCTTCAAGGTAGCTCGCAAAACCCCAACAACAAACTGCAAATATTCCAGACCGAGCTCCTTTAAACAAGCAGCCAAAGCAAGCCGAGCTTCATCACGGATGCTTTCCATGCGGTTCTTTAAATGGTTTGCAATGCGATGAATGATACTTGGAAGTTGCGAGTCCATCATGTCTGCAGGAAGCAACTTCAACACTTTCAGTATAGCCACATTGACGTTAACATTGGCCTTAACAGCATCATTATCCAGTAATTTTTGCATCTTAGGGAGCACAGTTTTTTGAAGGCATGCCTGTACATCACTGGCTATAACAGAACTACTGCATTTAACCAATGTAGCAGAAGAATTACTGCCACATTTGTGCAAAGTAGCTAAAGGAACTGTCTCAATGCTATCAGCAACGCTGTCTAAAGAGTCTTTCTTTACTTGATTGGAAAATTTTTGAGAAAAATGGAACTGGTCCAATATAGAGCAAATCAGCCGCAATAAAAACTTCTGCTTGTCCTGGTTCACCTTCATCTCCTGGAAACATCTGTTCAATAATGCATAATATGACTTCCATTCCAACTGAGCAGCAATTGAAGCAAGAGCTTCAATGCATGCAGTTCTAATGTGTTCTCCCTTTCCACCTTGTACATCTAACAACATATTGAAAAAGAGTGGAACAAACACTCTATTCATAATGTCCTGAAAATTAATAGTACTACATTGAGTTTCAAGCAGAATGACAGTTAAAAGAGAAAAACTTTCACATAATAAAAGGAAAGAATAATGACCTCCGAGAAGTTAATTTTACTGATAATGTTACTAAAGCGTAAAAGTGCCCTAGCCCTCCTATGCTTCTGCAATAACAAAAGAAACAGTAAGGGTCTCTCAAATAAGAAGAAACAGAAAATGCATGTTGTCAAGAATACTGCCCAAGCTCTTTTGCGAGCGATAGGAAATGGAAATAATTTCATTAGCCAACCAGTTTGTACAGGACATGAAAGCTTAAACAATGGTAAAAAAATTTTCTTATAAGAAAACTTGAAATTAAGCACAAAATTGGACCTGCAAATGAATAATATTGTTGAAAAAATCTTGCTCAGCATCCTCAGAGCACAGCACTTTGAAGGAATTTAGATTTTCCACCGCAGGAAGTTTCCACACCATATTTCGTAGTAACTCGATCCATTCCTGAAACCATGTAAATCAATTACAAAAATCATGCCAATGCTAGGGAGTACTTACTCCCTCTGCGCAAAACATTGTCCAAATCTAATGTCTTATCCATCTTCTAATGTTTTCATTCCAAACAACAACTAATCCTTAATCTCACATTAGTTGGGGTTGACTACACGAATCCTTTGTTTCCATATCTACTGTGTCAATTAAGCAATTAAAGCACAGTATAGAATTGGAAAATTTTGAAATACCTTCTGTGAATAGAAAAAATTGGAAAAGAAAAGAAAAGAAATGTAAATCATTTGCTATATTAGTAAATAAACAAAACATAAGACAGACAACAACAACAACTAAGCCTTAAACTCATTAGCATGAGCTTGTTCCCATTATGCTCTGTTCATAACTTTATTCTCAGTAATATTCAAATACTGAAGATCCTTTGTGACAACTTCCCTCCATGTGGTTCTAGGTCAAACTTCTCCCCTGTTTAGCAACCTCCATTACCAAAGTACCACACTTACAAACAAGGGCATATGGGGGTCTACATAAGTGGCGGTGGCAATTTTCTATGGTCTCCGTACACCTCACTTTAGACATAAAACTAGTCAACAATAAAAAATTTGGCAAAAGCTGTAAGTGGTAGTCAATGCAGTTACCACAGTAAAAAATAAGCATTAGAAAACTAGACACTTTTTTGAGGGTGAAGTAAAATATTTACTTCAAACAAGGTTATCAATGGTATTACACCAGAATCTCCAAGCTTTAGTATAGCTCAATCTACATAAACTATTTGACTGATATAATGCCAAAAGAATATAATGAAAACTATATAATACATGAGGGGTTACGTTAGTACCTTCCTAACCGAACTTCTATCCTTCATTGTGTTCCCAATGTGCTTCAAAAGAAACTTGTTTATTATGCGTAGAACACTAGTTTTTGTCCAAGAATATTTGCTATTTGTTGCAATCACTTCATAGGTACCATCATGGCTCTTATCCTCTCCACCAAGAATTAAAGCGCAAAATTCGACAAAAGAAAGCAACGACCTATACGCACTTTGCCTTAAAATTAATTCTTCTGATGACATATCATACACACAATGCGACAAGACAGCTAATGCATGATCTTCTTCGATAGTATAGAATAAACCCACATCTATCTTTTCGTAAGCACTGAGGATGCTGTCATAATCAAGGCCACCCATTTCTATAGCTGATGTTGCGTTCAATTCATGGATGAGTTTTGCCTGGATATAAGTCAACATTAATAAGCATTGTCAAGTGACAAAATTTCAATAATGACTCGATTCAAAATCAATATCAGTTAGGAAATTCAGAAAATAGCAAGCCTTACCACAAAGAGCACAGAAGGATCAGTTTTTGCAAGAGCATCAAGAAGATCACAGATATTCAACCGCACATCCAATTCAACAGAAATAAGAAGTGGAGAGATAGCATTAAGAACATTTTTTGTACGCTCATTTCCTAATACTGGTATAATATCTCGAATGATTTGCAAGCATTCACCACAGACACCTGCAGAGACAAATAAAACTTAATCACATACTGAGATAGAAGTTAAACAGCATACATACCAAATTTTGGGAAATATTCTCACCAGATTCTTTTTGTCTAGTTGCTAGCAATGGAAGCAAGACATCCAAAAATTTCCTTGATTGTACCTTATCTTGTATATACTTTGACAACAATTTGAAAATTCTAATATGCGTCTCTCCAGGATTTTTGGCCAACTTCCTAGTACAACAGAGGTAAAAGAGAGTTTAACAATTTTTTAAACTAACATGTAAAACTCATAATATAAGACCATATTGTTAGCAACTACAATGAAATATTCAACTGAGGCATGGACCAGTTGTGTTACTATTTAAAGCCCACCAAAACAAGAATGTCATATTCAAAAAAGAAAAGGAAAAAAAAAGAAGCAAGATCTAGTCGCCAGAAGCAGCTAGCACAAGCGGTTTGTGTTAGTATGCAGAAGAGTGAGAAACAGGAATGAAATTTGTCTCTTCTAATACCAAATACACAAACCTCCAGGGATGTTAGTACTAGCCTCCTCACCACCTGCAAAAAGTTGTTTTTTTCTTTTTGTTGTATTGTGGTTACCGCCTAATTCTCATAGGATGTTATAACTTATATAGGGTAGTGCAACATCAGTTCAGAATCAGAGTTCTCAAGTAATATACCTGTTCACTACTAGTCTATTTCCTAGTTGTATGACCAGAAAATCAGCCTCTTTGTTTTTTCTATTTCTTGTATTTTATATTTCAATTTTCTCTCTTTTCAGTATCTTATTTAGTATGCAAACAAATTAGGGTTAGGGTTAGGCCAGGGCTAGCTAGGCACATCAAACAGAAACCAACCTAACCATTTCCCTAAAAGCATTGCCTTCTGACATAAAGTAGCTAGAACTGAACTTCTCTCAGAACACAGGCTCAGAACTATATCTCAACTGACTGACTGATTCCTCTCACAAATAGTCGCTCCCAAAGTCCCAACTGGAGAAAGTCAATCACATTCTACAACCTCCTCGTAAACCTCACTAGGAACATTAAACAAACACAAAAAGGAAGGGCAAGCACCAGTAAAACAAGGGTAATATTCACAATCAATCGAGTACACAAGCCCATGTCATATTCATGGAGAATGTTCACTGCATTATTTTTTAAGGAAATAAGCTACCCACCTAGTAAATTGTCATTGCTCTTTCTCAACGATAGAAGAACATTAAACCAGGTACACAGGTGAAATAGCAGAAGTATATGTTATGTCAGGCACTAGACTAAACCAGACAGATGGATCTGTTACCTTAGCATATGTTATTTCAGGCACAATGAAAAATACAAATTAATAGTATTGAAGTGAACCATTAATACCTTTTGCTTGCACCATCACCTTGGAAAAGAAAGTGCAAGCTGGTGATAAGTTTGTCAACGTTTGGAAGTAGAAGTTTCTTGGCCACAGTGTCTTCGTCATCCAATTCTTCATCAAGATTCAGCAGGTTCTCAGTGAACTTAAGAACACAAGATTTGATAGCCTCAGAAGCAGTAGGGACAGTTAGAATTGAGAAAATATCAGGAACAAGATTCTTTTCCCTAGACAAGAGCGGTAGGAGGTGGAAACTGCTACTCATAGCCAAAAAGCATGAGAAAAGTGAACTTGGCTTCTCACTGCTAGAACCCTCCTGCTTAAAACTGTCAATTAAAGGTTTTACTGATGTGAAGAGCATGTCCCAGAACTCGCTACCAAAGTCATGATCATCATACTTATTGAGAACAACAGAAACAATTTTCAGACACAAAGACCTAAGATCCTTGAACTGCTTCAGAGATGTGCCAGTCTGAAAAGGCAATAATTTTCATTAGAAATATTTTGTAAATCCAACTTAATGCCAAGAATGACCATTGTCACCTCATGAATGACAGAGAATTTGCTTCTCAATGAGCAACCAGACTGCAGGTAAAACCGCAGTGACAAAAATCTCATCAAGACACATTTTCAAATAGGGATAGAGAGAACAGAATGATTAAAGAAAAATTTGTCCTCCCCAGTCAGCATTCATTATAAACACACAATAACTATTTAGTTAATTTACGTTACAAGGCTAAATGAAGAAACTGCTGATGTGAACCAGCAATAACAAAAATGATTTTGACGCTAGCAAGATTCAGTATATTCAGCATATTTAAACATTACCAGTGCATGATTAACTGCAGCAGTGTCTTCTTCATGCAATTCAAAGATAGCATTACAATCACTTTCAGTTACAGAAGATCCAGATCCCTTTGCAACATTAAGACTTGAAGTACAAAATCCCAACACTCGAACAACACATCCCATTAACAGATCCAGGAAAGGTCTGATATGTGATTCATCAAAAACTCCAAGAATATCTTCAATGACATGCAGAAAACCAAATCTCTTCTTCCAAGGGAGTTCCATTATATTTTCCAAGGTGAAGTACTTCAAGAGTTTCAATGGTTGAATTATATTGGTAGAACTTCCAGGTAAGGTCCAAAACATACTAGTGATACCATCAGCTTCCTTTGATATAATATGTAAAGGCTTTATTAACAGTGCAAAGAAAAGAGGTATCTCATTCACATCAAGTTGAGCTATGAATCGAAGAACTGCCTTTCGATGGTGCGCGCTTGTATGCTAACAAAAGAAGTATTATGACATTAACACATAAGATGACAGAAAATATATATATATATATATATATATAAAACAAAATTCTTTTTCTTATTATGGTTTTGGCTCAAAGGAAACCTTTTGCCATTTTCTATCAACAGTTCTCTAAATTTTTGTAATACCATCTCTGTTATAGAGAGATGAGAGAGTACGGTAGTCAATAAGATAGGAAGACATATAAAAGAAATGTACGTATCGGGCATACCTTTCGAGAGGCAAGCGTCTTTGGTTTTCTCACTTTCGGCATTAGAACAAGAATTATTAAAGGCACAAGATTAGCTCTATGACCTTCTTCAATGAGATAAGATTCTCTGCTCAAACTCCACGTCGTTAATTCCTCTCTCAAATTTTTTGAGATTATTAAGTTTCTAAGATGCTGCTCATATGGGAGCAAAACGTCATCTTTCCATGTTAAGAGGCAGTCAAGAACCCTCATCTGTATTTCAGCATCAGCTTCATCCATAAGTCTAGTAAAAACAGTTGGAGTTAAATCACCAAGTAGTTTTAGAAGATCTGAAACATAACACCATAAAACATCGACGTATATAGTAATGCATTTCCTAACCTGATTAGCAGAACGTCTTTTAAAAACTGACCCCGATAAAAGGCCTTAGGATTCCGCATAAGTTTAAACAAGTTTAACCATTCCTTGAGGACACCCCTCCACTCCTTGCCTTTGCAAGCATCTGTATTGAATGATCCAACACTGCAATCCCAACTTAAAAACATAAATTGACTGCACACTATGTGGTAAAGCTTTCACAAGAAATTGTCCAAACCGCTGAAAGAAAAAGAGACAGGAAGGAGAGAGAGCCTATCAGCAGGAGAACAAGGCAGAGCTACCTTTGAAGATCATTATTGTTGTAACCCAAAAACTTCAAGAACAGTGGTACAATTTGTCGAGAACGAGATTCAGCAACAGATGGAATTTTTTGTAAAGACTGCAGCAATGAGGATAGAATAGTTGCCTGTGGAGTGCTATCAGATGCAGGAACAGCAAAAGAAATAAAACGCTCAACCAAGTCTGAACACCAAAATCAGAGTGAAGTTAACGTCCAGACAACCTTCCTTTCCATCTCAATCAAAAAAGGAAAAATTAAAATAAATTGAAAACAGAACAAGCAGGCTTCACACATATGAGGTACACAAGAACCTATATATTCTAATCTTTTTTACATTCACAAAGAAGATGGACGCTCAATCTAGAGAACATAATATGTAAGGGTTCGTTTGGGTGGAAGCTTATTTCAAGCGACAAGAAAATTTGCAATAAAATGAAAACGACCAAGCTGGCTGCACAAAAATGAGGTATACAAGAACAAGACGTTCTAATCTTATTTATCTTCAGCAACAGAATGGAGACTCGATCTAGAACATAACAAATAGAACTGACCAGTTAAACAGCCTAATTTTCATTTAGGTATATGCTCGTTTCATGTGAAAAATTATAGAAATTAACATGATGTCAAATCATCATAAAGTAACATTGCAAATAACCTATATGCTTATTTGAAATGAAGGTGGATTCGAATTGAACACAGCGTTAATTTTTATAACTTTTCACTTGAAATACAAATCCAAGTCCATCATTTCAAACATTCATCTATCCAAATGCACTGTAATGTCATGTGACAATGAAGGAGACAAAAAAAGCATGCAAGAGTAACATTGTCCCCAATCAGAACAGCATGGAAATTCTATCACTTACCATTAGAGTTGTAAGGAAAATCAGTACTTTGTCCATCCAGTTTATCATGCGATGACTGAAATGCAGATAGGCATTTCTCAAAGTAGCAAATAAATTTGTCCCATACAAGAGTAACATGTTCCCCAATCAGAACTGCAAGGCACTCAGATGCCGGATTCCATAGATAACTAAAACGGTTATGGAAGATGCCAATCATTCCACTCAAAATGATGGGTATATAAGTTTCAGATATCCTTCCAGCAGAGAGAGCCATCTGTATTTTAGAGATTAATAGGATAACTTTCCTGCTACTAGAAATTGAAAGAGGAGTTGCTTCAATCAAGAGGAGGAGCTGAAGAACCTGGCATTCAAAGGGAAATCCATCATTACTTAATTAGAATAAGTGTCAAATGGAAGGAATCATGACAGCATAGATATACATACATTAATACCATGACTGTCTGCAGAATTAGTCTGAGGAACTTCTGTTTTCATTCTCTTCTCAGGTTGCTGATCCTTCACTGATATTTCACATTCCTGATATTCATAGTGGCACAGAATTCTTAGGGTTGCAACACGAATTCCCTTGTCTGAGTTGCACAAATTATCAGCAAACATGTCTAATGCATCAACAGCCTTCTTTATTTCAAACTCAGGATGATATGTTATATGGCAATTGTCAGACTCCAATTTAGGCCTATCAGATTAGTGGTAGCAGAGTTACAGCAAGCACAAAGTTTCCAATCAAAACATACGATCAACATGTAGTTAGCACTAAAAAAAAGAAAAAACAGGCTTAATACATAAACACCAGCAAATTATCAACTTACCCATGCACATAGTCCAGATAATCAGCAACAGCAGTTAATACATGCAATGACGATTTGCATTTTTTTGCAAGACACAAAATTTTGCTAGTTTCTTCAAAACCAGAAATTTTGCCAGTTTTGCAACAGGAACTTAAAGCAGCTCCAACCAGGCTTTGCCAAGTACATTTGTGAACACCAGCAATAGTTTCTGAAAGAACAGCAAATAATTATTTACAATTCACATAAAAGCAATATACAGAATCGTGCAAGCTATTAATACAAAACCACTTCAACAAATCTTTAGGACAATACATCAGCACGCTTAATTTGTTATAATTATACAAACTTCCCTCTCTCAGACTAAACTTTACAAATGAAAATGTGACCATAATTGACAACTAGAACATCAACATATACAGAAAATCTGAAACTTCTCTAAGGGCTTTAAAATAAAACCACCTCAATCAAATCTAAGTACAACATTAAAGCCATTGCATATCACAAGTCATTCATGAAGACATGCAACCAGAGGTAAACAGGTAAAATTACGTCCAAATTCAAACTACATCCCAGAATTAAAGGAGATATTGTCTCACCATCGTCAATCATCAAGAGGCAATCAAGTGTACCTAACAAATCCATTAGTAACAATGGCTTTGCTCGGATACCCATCATATGAGGATAACAGCAGATGACTCCCCAGAGCAGAGCCAACTTGTCCTTATCAATTGTAGTAGATGATGGATTGCCAAGAGTAATGTTATTGATCACCCCAGTCCAGGAGGAGATAGCCCCCTTTAGAAAACCACATATCTTTGAAAGACTTTCTTCGGATGTACCATCTAAAATGCCGGAACTTAAACTGTCCTTTTGCAGTCTCTCACAGAAGGACAAAAGCATGCATAGAACATCCTCTTGTGAAGTTTCTATTAAATCATTCAACGCACTGAAAATCCAATAGAAGTGTTAACTTGTGTGCCCAAACTACAACATTTCATGAAAACCCCTAAATCAATTAAACCATGATGATTACCTCAAAATATTAACTCTGAATGCATATATTACACAGGGATCCTTCTCCAGCAGTTCCTTAATAAAAGTCAAACAACTAAAACCCAAACCACATGTATGTCAGAAAAAGGAGATAGAAACACAGGAAATGGTAACAAAAACAAACAAAAAAAAAAAAAAAAAAAAAAAAAAAAAAGGAAAAAGAAAAACCATCAAGAATGCACAGCATTAATTGCAGAACCTTATCAACAACTTTAGAATTGCCTTCTTCCACCACAATGCTAGAAGGAACAATAAACTTCTGAACAATTGACTTTACTCGTTCAATCATTTGTTGGTAATCTGCACAATATCAGTATAAGTTGGAAATGAAAAAGGATATAGATAGTATACATTTTTCCTCACCCTTGTAGAGAGGTATATAGATGTAAGTTCAAACACACTGAAGAACTTAGAAAATAAAACTATAAGAAGACTACCGTTGCTCACCTGAAATCTTCATCCCATTATTTATCTCAACAACTGAAATAAGCAGTGATAAAAGACAACTTAGATGCTGGTCATTTTCATAGTCACCTAATCTCTGATCTAAGCAATTCCATATCAAATTCAACTCCTTTGGTTCCAGATCCTCGCATAATCTTCGGAAGGTAGCAGTTAGAACTTCAATAACAGAATCCACATCTAAAAGAGAGAGAGAGAGAGAGAGAGAGAGAGAAACACAATTACACAAAAGAATATTCCACTCCATGATAAGCATAATCCATCCAGAAATAGAATTGAGTAATCAATCAAAGCAAACTACCAGCCATAACAGATTTATCAAAAGCCCAACTATGCACTGCAGGTTCTCAGGGTTAAACATAGGACACTCATAAAAGACATAAGAAAACATTCAAAAAATTTTAAAGGAATATCAACCTAAAACTGCTCTCCCCACTATTCCTATGTGCTACTTTGTAGGTCATCGTGTTATTTCTGTATGCAGGACTCAGCAGAAGAAAAGATATTTTAAAACCTAATCACCTGATCACGTTTTCTCCAAAAATGAATAAGGTAATAAGTGAATCAACATTTCCTTAAACCATTATGATTAATGACTCAAATATTATTCAGAAAACATTTTCTCCAGTACACTGTCAAAAATGAAATAAAAAATTATGAAAGTTATATAATAGAGAATGAAAGTAGTGAACGATTGGGTAAACATTAAGCAGAAAGGAAGCATGTAAATGATATTAAACTGCAAATAGTTAGTGTGAGGCAGTGTCCTAGAGAAAGAGCTTGCCTTGGTCAAACTTCTCACTAATAGTGAATATAGAATTTTCGGTCAATAGCTGCAGTACCCGATCTGCTCTTGAATGAAACCTTGAAGAGGTCCCTCTCATAATATGATAAAGTAAAGCACTAACTCCAGATTTTCGTGTAAGTAATGGTTTCTTCACAACCTCAAACATGATCTTTCTAATGCCTGCAATTAAAAGCGCACACATCATTAACTTGCGCATAAATTCAAATTTCATACCAAACTCCTCAAGAAAAAACAAGCAAAAATTTGAGTTCAACAAATGCAACACTATTAACAAAGAAAAACTATAATACCAAAATATTTCTTCCATTCACCCAAAAACAAAGGAATAAACTATATTTTCTTGCTCAAGTAGTACATTTATAAGCATATCTTTTATGAATACAAAGTAGGTCACATCACATGCAGAAAAAAAAATGAGAAAAACGCTTGGCCTCCCCTGAAAAAAACTAACATATCTATTCCATAACAATACAATAAAAACTTTTCCAGAAAGAACTATACTCCTATATTTAGTGGACTACAGTACGCAAAAAATAATTTAACTTGATAAAGTTTCTAAAGTAGTTGCATCAATAACTTAAAACATATGCACTTCCCAGTTACAGTAGTTACTAGTTCAAAAAGGCCTTTTGTCCCCCAAGAAGAAACCAAAGAAAGACCGCAACAATTATAAAGATAGCTCAACAGCAACAGCATAACTAAAACCAGCAAAAATTACAATTTTTATGTATTATTAAGCAATATTTGGCTCCACAAACTGCCAAGAAAAACCAATGTAAACAGATACAGGCAATGAATTTCAAGAATGACAGCATGACAATACCTTTTCTAAGCTGCTCCTTGGGAGCATTTCTCAGCAAAAATGAAGTTGCCTCTGCCATAAATTCTTGGACATAGCCCTTTGGATAATATCTTAATTTTATTGTCAACCTGAAAAAAATAAATAAATACATTAAGTGGGAAAAGGCAATTCCATCAATTAAAAGTGTACAAATATATGTACGCAAATTATCCAATAAAACATACAATAAGTTAAAATAACAATGTTTACTTACTTGAGCACGTGTACAACATCCTTCACGAGATATTTTTGCAAGTACATCAGAATATAAGACCATGATGTAAAAATCTGCAGATAATCCAAGATTAAAGTTTATAAAAATAGTAAGCCATAATGAACTATAAAAAATGGTATGCACAGATTAAACTTCATTGGAACCATGTTTAGACCTGCTCGATGATCTCTGGCTCCCTGTCAGCACCACTTTCAAGGAGAGAGACAAGTGAATCAGCAATCCTGGGCAAAAAGCTGGCAAGTCCCAAAATTATACATCAACCATGTCAGAAACAGAAAATAAGAAATTAGTACACCGACACAGAAAGGTTCACATAGAACAATATTAGGAAATTCTCAATGAACTTTCAAGACCTGGTAATTGCATTATAGTCTCCTTGCAGATGGAAAACATAACAAGTTAATACATTGGATCAAGAAAACACTTTCAAACTTTAAACCCCTCTTTTGACCGATCAAGAACCCAAAAAAGGAAAATAAAATACGAGGAATAGGATCACAAAGCTTCTACTTTTGAGACTATCAAATGCATAGAGAAGGGGATAATGGGGGAAGAGACAAAGAGAGTTCAAGAAAAGATAAAGGATCCAAAAGTTGAACAAGCAGACACTTGAGAACTGAAGACAATTCACATGCAAGGAGCATCTCCACATGTTTTATAGAAAATTTACCAAAGACACTTCTGTTTACTCTACGCATTAACTCATAAGAAATAAAAATTAGACTAATAAATCCTACTAGAAAACTAATTGAGGTAAACTATATGGATTCCTTTCCTCTATTGCACCTGGTTTAGGGCTATATCTACAAAAACATCTGTAGCCAATAAATCCTCTTTAGCTACTTCCCCAACTCATTCTAGGTTTTCCCCTTTCTTTCTTAATTCAGAAAAAAAAAATATATATATATATATATAAAAGGTCGTTTTACAAGTATTCAAAAACTGGGAAATCTATTTACCGTGGAAAATATCGAAAACAAATGTTACAGAAAAAAGAAAGAAAGAAAAATCAATGACCATGACCCAAAGGAATAATAAACTCACGAGATGAAGTCCTCTAGTAGATCTCTAGATAGAACTGCAATTAACCTGTAGAAATTAAACAAACTGCATGAGAAGCATATTGACACTAGTAGTTTTTGGTAAAAAAGACAGATTTTATTGACAGATAAGAGACACACCGACGCAGAAGAAGATGTCAATTAAAAAAAAAAAAAAAGCAGACAGATATCCCAAGAAAATAAGAAACATTTCCATCCAATCTCAAAAAAATATGAAAACATGTATGCTTATCACAACATTACCAGTTCAATGATAATGTTCAAGAATTTAACAATGTTTCTCTTAAACAATTCAAAGATCTATTTTCCTAGCAGCATGGAATGGTGAGATAAATATAACTTTTGGGGAAGCCCAGAAATATTATTTATGCCAAATCCATAATTGGTCCTTCTCTTTCTCTGCACTATTATAAATCAAGCTAATCTCCTGCTTGATATCATAGGGAGTAAATAGAGGAGGGACCATTTTTATTTGCTGCAAAGACAAGGCAAAATGACTAGCATACCTCAGGTAAAAAGAAATACGCAAGTACATGCATTCATTTGGTCTAAATAGGAAAACAGGTCAAGCGTTTAAGAGCATATGACAACAAAAAATGCCCACAAGACAAATAGTTGTCAATCAGAAAAAAGGAAGTATCTTATGATTTGAGTTCTCCAATTTCGACCTAATACACTTCAATCTTGCAGCAAGTGCAGTTTTGTGCTCTTCTTTTATCTCAATGATGTTGGTGTTCATTATTTCCTATCTCCATCAGGGAATAATTTGAAAACCCATGAATCCCCAAGCCAGATTAATGTCATCATAATTCAAAAATAAATAGCCACTATCTATATCCATACTTTAGTGAAAGTTGAATGGCATGAAATTGTCTTCTAAAGCAAATGATGCCATCATATATCATAAAATTTGAAGAATCCAAATTATTCAAACAAAGAGTAGAAAAGGGGGATAACAAAGGCATTATTAAGGATTATCTCAAATAAGATAAGCATAAGAATGCAGCAGAACAAAGAGCATGTACCTGAGAATAGGCTCAAGCGACAATCGTGCTTTCATTTGTAATCTAGAAAGAAGTTCTGAAAGAATTGATTCTTTGTGCAGTAGCACAAAAGGTAATGTTTGTACCAAGGGCATCATCGTCTCATAAAACGATTGGTCTAAATAGGAAAACAGGTCAAGCGTTTAAGAGCATATGACAACAAAAAATGCCCACAAGACAAATAGTTGTCAATCAGAAAAAAGGAAGTATCTTATGATTTGAGTTCTCCAATTTCGACCTAATACACTTCAATCTTGCAGCAAGTGCAGTTTTGTGCTCTTCTTTTATCTCAATGATGTTGGTGTTCATTATTTCCTATCTCCATCAGGGAATAATTTGAAAACCCATGAATCCCCAAGCCAGATTAATGTCATCATAATTCAAAAATAAATAGCCACTATCTATATCCATACTTTAGTGAAAGTTGAATGGCATGAAATTGTCTTCTAAAGCAAATGATGCCATCATATATCATAAAATTTGAAGAATCCAAATTATTCAAACAAAGAGTAGAAAAGGGGGATAACAAAGGCATTATTAAGGATTATCTCAAATAAGATAAGCATAAGAATGCAGCAGAACAAAGAGCATGTACCTGAGAATAGGCTCAAGCGACAATCGTGCTTTCATTTGTAATCTAGAAAGAAGTTCTGAAAGAATTGATTCTTTGTGCAGTAGCACAAAAGGTAATGTTTGTACCAAGGGCATCATCGTCTCATAAAACGAGATGAAGTCCTCTGCAGTATTCAATTCCTGTATTTTGGACATACCATAAACATCATAAACATAGTGAAACAAAATAGAAATATTTAAATCCATGGAATGGAACAGAAATTTAAAATTTCAATCCAGAATTTTTCAAGTCTTGGCTCACCAAAGGGACACGACACTACTTCACCTTCAAATCTATTCTATGTCAATATGGACAAGTTTAAGAAAAAAAAAGCATCAAACACAACCATTCTAATTTGTCCAATCTCATTACATCTGTTTCTTTTGTGAGAAAAACTTTCCAAAAAGGTGATAATCAAACATGTAAACCAATTGTCAAATACAACTTGCAACATAACCTTGATGGAAAGAAAACCATTTCCTACAAGAGCAAGACTGGACTAAGAAGGGCAAAAGAATAATCTGAATGAAAATAACTCCATTCTCTCAATAACCAATCATTGTAGAATTAGATAGCGTGTCAACTACCTGAATTTCAGTTTCCATCAATCAAAAGATTCCTATAATTCAAGTAAAATACACACATTATCGAAAAAGACATACCCTCCATTCCACAAGGAAATCCCGGAAAAAAGAAGAACCCTCAGATGGCTCAGCTTTGAATTTATCAAGGCTTCGGTAGACATCAATTTCAATTCCTTCTATTCTCTGAGAGAAGGTCTTGAACTGGACAAAATAAACCAATTCAAGTATGAACACAGACAAATACTAAATAAAGGAACAAATAGTGCAAACAGTTAACAAAAAAAAAATAATAAACAAGAAAAGCACGGGCCAAAAGAAAAAACGAGGAAGTTGTTGGTAAATTTCTTCTGAAAAACCATGTAATAATGTTTAAATATGGACCAAATTTTGGATACATCAATAGTTATGTCCTTCTGCTGCGATGTTAAATAGAGTTCAACTAGCTAGCAATAAATCCTATAGGCAGAAATTAAGTTATGCGGCCACTTAAAATATCAATATCAATCAAATTGCAGGACTTTGGTCATTCTTATTCCTCTTTCTCTGTTTGCATCTGTACACACTTGTTGTATCTAAACTGCTTACAAAATTCTCAATAAAGTTTAAGAGAGAAATAGAGAGAACGTACAATGAAGCGGCGGCGACCGGCCGATTTGTTGAGTGACTTGACAGCCTGGGCATGCGACGGCGTCGCCATGGGAAATCTTATTCTGTGTTATTGTTGTTACTAATAAACATACGAAGGATATGGAGATGGAATTTTGCTGCTGCAGAGAGGAAAATTTAAAATCGCTAAAACCCTGTCTGCCTTAAAGGCTTAAACCCTGTCTCCGTTTCTATAGTCTGGAGTATAGCGAAGCAGGACCGCCATGAAGACCAAAGAGGACGCTCCAGATGGGTCGGGTGGTTCGGCTCACAATTTGGGCTTTCGGAGGGCCTTTGCTCTTTACTCTTTAGTTGATGACATTGGGCTCGGTTTGGGGTGACCTGGGCCTGGCCAGAGGTTAGACCAGTTTTCTTTTTCTTTTTTTGAGGAAATGGTTAGAACGCTTTAAGGAATTAAATTGTTATAAGTATTTTTTATTGTCATTGGTCATCAATTAATAATTGGAGGAGAATTTTTAAGAAATTGAAGGTTTTATTTAAGGGTTGAAAAAAGGAACAAATACACAAGAATGTTTAGAGAGACATTGATTTTTTTTTTAATATATATTTAAATAATGTTCTCCCGTTTATCATTATTAACAAATAAAAATTTTATACCTAAACACCACATGCTTCAATTGAGTTTAACCCAATAGTTATCATTTATCTCCACAAATTATGAGAAGTATCAACATCTAAATTACAATGAAATTGAACTAAAGAATTAGAAGAAACAAAAAAACATAATGCTACCTTATCTTAATTTTATTAATTATTGAAAAACATTGTGGAAAAAAATAAAATGTATTATTATTTTTTTAATACTTTGAATTAAAACTGATGACGTTATATTCTTGTATTTTATACTCTCTCGGTCTTAAATTTTTTTTTGTTGCATATAATATCAATGGTTTTCAAATCTATATAAAACCAGATTAAATCAATTAATTAAATTTATTGAAAATATAATTATGTGAAACTCAGTTGAATTATTTATTTGTAATTAAAATATATTAAAAATAAGAATTTCACTATACAAATAAATTTTATACAAAATTATTTAAAAAATGAATATCGTATTTTGAACGGTGGAATTAATTTATAATAAAACCAAACCACATTTATAAGTTTTATTAATTTTAAGTATCTTTTATATTTAGTTTGGTCTAAATTTTCTATAATAATTTTTTCTTTTGAGACTAGTCATTAATAATTTATTTTTATTAATTATCTAAATCAAATCAAATTCCTAAATTCCAATTGAAATATGAAATCCGCAAAATATATAAACCTCGTTAGTATACGTAAACTGGTATAAAATTAATCTGCAACCGAAGGTGTCCAACCAAATTCCTCGCCGCCATAAAATAGGCCGCTTCTTGCTTCGCGCCCGTGTGTCGCGAGACCTCACGAGCCACGAGTAGCAGTCACCCACCTCCTGTCACGCTTCAGAGCTTCGTTTGGTTGCTGGGAGAGAGTAACAAAATTTGAAATCCAACTTCTTTCCTTTGTTCCGTTCCTACAAACCCCTTGTTCTTTTTTCTTGGTAACCAAACAGTAAAATCCTGGTTCCTCGCTAGCTAGGGTTTCGATTATTCTATTACAGCATTCCTTCTTTACCCAATTAATACAGCTGTCGTCGATCTGTTTTTAAACAGGGGTTTTAACAAGTACTAGCTGAATGAGGTTTTAAGCTTTAAAGTTTTTTAGGGTTTGCTAATTAGGGTTTTAATATAACAATGGCCGATCGCAGCAATATCAATAACATCAATAACAGCAACAACAACGCCGTTGCCAAGCCGATATGGATGAAGCAAGCTGAGGAGGCTAAGCTAAAGAGCGAGGCCGAGAAAGCCGCCGCTGCAAAAGCCGCATTCGAGGCTACATTTAAAGCCGTGCCTAACAAGCCTGATAGACCTTCAGATTCCGATTCAGATGGAGAAGAAGCAGAGGAGGACTTGGCTAATAAGCCTATAGGACCCGTGGACCCCGCCAAGTGCACTGCTGTAGGAGCGGGAATTGCTGGTGGGACTGCTTGTGCTCCTTCTACGTTCATGGTGGTGACAAAGGACGGTGATGGGAGGAAGGTCCCACATGGCGGCGCGCAGATTAAGGTGAAGGTGTCGCCTGGGGTGGGTGTTGGGGGAAGTGAGCAAGAAGGGATTGTGAAGGATATGGGAGATGGGACTTATACAGTCACTTATGTTGTGCCCAAAAGAGGGAATTACATGGTAAATATTGATTGTAATGGTAAACCTATCATGGGTAGTCCCTTCCCCGTGTTCTTCAGTGCAGGTACTCGTTACTATAATTTATTGGCCCCTTAATTTCAGATACATTGTTTATACTTGCCACATTCTGTGCAATGTTGTTTTGTTGTTGGGACATGTTAGGTGAAAGCCATTTTTTACATGGATATATTTGATTGATTGTGACCAACTCTGGATGTTCTTTTTTATTGTGTGATTTTAAAATTTTTATGCTGTTCACTACTTTGAGAATGACATCATTTCTGGATCATATCAGAAATCATATTGTTTTTATTTGTCTAGTTTGATGCACAAAGTAGAGTGTGGTGTTATTTTTTGAAATTGAAAAAGTAAAAAAAAAAAAAAATGCTGTGAACATTTTCATCTGTGGTATGTGAATGTAAGAAAACAACTAGATTGTTGCTTGCTTCCGGCTCATTCTGTCCTTATTATTGCTCGCTTCCCACTCATTCTGTCCTTATTGTTGCAGACTTGTTATCCTTTCATATAGGCTTAAATATTATTTTCTTTGGTGGAACATTAAATATTGAAGTGTTGTTGTCCAGGCACTTCAACTGGAGGACTGTTGGGTATGGCTCCAACATCTACATTTCCAAACTTAGTCAACCAGACCATGCCAAACATGCCAAATTATTCAGGCTCTGTTTCTGGTGCATTCCCTGGATTACTAGGAATGATTCAAGGTGTTGTTCCTGGTGCTTCCGGTGGTGCTATTTTGCCTGGAATTGGAGCATCTCTTGGTGAAGTTTGCCGTGAGTATCTTAATGGTCGGTGTGCAAAAACTGATTGCAAGCTGAACCATCCGCCACACAATTTGCTAATGACTGCATTAGCTGCAACAACCACAATGGGAACTCTTAGTCAGGTGCCTATGGCACCTTCAGCAGCTGCAATGGCTGCTGCTCAAGCTATTGTTGCTGCCCAAGCCTTGCAAGCCCATGCTGCTCAGGTGCAAGCACAAGCCAAAACTGCCAAAGATTCATCTGGTATCTTTTTCTGATTTCGTTTAGTTATGCATATACTCAATAGTCTATATGGAGCCCTTTTCAATCCCTTTCCTGATGCTATTGCTTCTTTCCTTGTCTCTGTAGTTTCGTGCATGTGTTTTGTTTTGCTGTCATATATTTCTTTTTAAAATTTATATTGCACGCATTTAGTGTTTTGAACTTCTTACCCCTGAGCTTTTTTGTTTTGGCTAGGTTCACCTGACAAAGCTGGGAAGGAAGATGCACTGAAGAGGACACTTCAAGTTAGCAATCTCAGCCCACTTCTGTCAGTGGACCATCTGAAACAACTATTTAGCTACTTTGGCAAAGTTGTTGAATGCACCATTACTGATTCGAAGCATTTTGCCTACATAGAATACTCAAAACCTGAAGAAGCAACTGCTGCTTTAGCATTGAACAATATGGATGTTGGACATCGCCCCTTGAATGTTGAGATGGCTAAATCGCTTCCTCAAAAATCAGCTTTGAATTCTTCACTGGCTTCATCTTCTCTGCCAATGATGATGCAGCAAGCTGTTGCCATGCAACAGATGCAATTTCAACAAGCATTGCTTATGCAGCAAACTATGACTGCACAGCAGGCAGCTAACCGAGCTGCAACCATGAAGTCTGCAACAGAATTAGCTGCAGCCAGAGCTGCAGAAATCAGTAAAAAGTTAAAAGCTGATGGATTTGTCGAAGAAGAGAAGGAAACAAAAAAAGAGTCTAGGTATGTTAACATGTCTATTCCTTTCCAAATAGGTTGCTAGCGTAATTTGCATAATTTGCTATGACTTTTCCATTATTTGCCATGCTTTTCCCTCAGAAGTGTTGAAATATTGTAGACAACAGCTGTGAGCTTTTCACTTCACGGTCATGTTTTGGATCACATATTACTCCAATTTGTAAGCTGCTATCACAGACATTGTGGTTTCTATGTTAATAAGTGCATTGTTAATTTGGGGGTAGATGCACTTTAATTAACTGGCAAATAGAATCTAACAGATTTTGAGCATGAATTCTTCTCTGGGCTATGATTGATATATTTTCTACAGAATTGGATGTTTGCTGCAGGCGCCCAATGTTTGCTGCATGTGTTGGGCACCTGAAGCAAATATGCTTTTTTCGTGTTTTATGTTTTAGGACTATAATTGTGGTAAAATTTTTACTTGAGAAAACACATATCATATGAATGTTCGTTTGTCGTATTGTTAATATATTGCCATTTGGGATATTTGACTCTTCCGTGATGGTTGCTTGACATTGAATGTTCGAAAGGAAAAGTACTTTTCCCTGCCACTAATGAATTTTCTACCCTATGAAGGTCACCATCCCCATCTCGGGCAAGATCCAGATCTAAGTCAAAATCACCGGTTAATTATCGACGAAGGCAGAGGTCTCCTACTTACTCACCCCCTCCTCGCCACCATAGAGATCGTAGATCCAGGTCACCTTTAAGATCTCGTCATCGCTTCAGGTATGATAATGAAAGGCGGATGTATAGAGATATTAGGGATGAAATTGACAGAACTAGAAGGTGGGATAGATCATACGATCGCCATTCTTCCGTTTCACGGAGAAATAGGAGTAGGAGTGTGAGCCCTCGAACAAAAAAGTCCTATAGAGCTGATTCAGGCTCACCAAAACGGCGTCGTGAAAGTTCGCCTTCCAGAACGAGAAAATCATCCCATGGCAGTTCAAGATCACCAAGGCATCATATAGGAAGCAGGTCATCCCCAAGAAATGACAGTGATAATAAACTAAAATACAGAAAACGCTCTAGGTCCAAATCTGTGGATGATTCCATTGACCGAGTAAAAGAAACCCGAGATGAAAAATCAAGGCAACCTGAAAGGAGATCTAGGTCATTATCTGTGGAAGAGAAGAACAATGGAATCAAGTCGTCTCCAAGAAGTTCAGATGACAATGAACGAAAACACAGGAGGCGATCAAGGTCAAAGTCTGTTGAAGCACAGCATTGCTCAAATGAGAAGGTGAACGAAACCAGGGAGGAAAGAGTGAAACGTCGTGATAGAAAGAGGTCCAGGTCAAGATCTATTGAAGGCAGGCGCCACTCCAGGGAAAAAGGAGATGAAAACAGAGATAGGAAGTCTAAGCACCGAGACAGGAAGCGGTCTAGATCAATGTCCGCAGAGGGTAGGCGTCACAGAGGAAGCAGGTCATCCCCAAGAGGTGGGAGTGAAAATAAATCAAAGCATAGAAGGCACTCGAGGTCAAAATCTCCAGAAGGCAAGCGCCGCTCTAGTCATAGGATGGATGAAAATAGGGATGAAAAATCAAAACATCGTAACAGAAGACGGTCAATGTCTGTTGAAGACAAGCCTGGCAGATCTCCAAGAGGTTCAGAGGAAAATAAATCAAAACAGAAAAGGCGTTCTAGGTCAAGATCTTTAGATCGCAAGTATCACTTCAGTGATATGAAGGATATAAACACAGATGGAAGTTCACATCAGGAAACTGAAAATCAGATTGGGGAACAAGATTCTATTGTGACAGATGCAACTAACATGCAGGACAGTAGGATGTTTCCTTCAAAATTTGATGACTGTGATTTAAAGGAACTGAAAGAAAATGTGGTAATGGATGATAATGAAGACAAGAGGAGCAGCAGACGCATGTCAAATTTTGATAGTAAGAAAGAAGGTTTGTTACCATAACTTAAGTTCCCATGACTTTGTCTGGTAACATCTATTAACTTTGGCATTGGAATTTTTAGCATTTGTTGCTGATTATTTATTAACTTAGTAATATTCATTGTGTGGTTCGCAGGACTCACTGGACACAATGAATATAAGATTCCAACTCAGTTGGATAAAATTGATTGATTTGGTCAAGCAAGGACCTAGAATATATAGCTAGAGGAGTGGTTGATGCTTGAGGATGATACTTTCTCTTAGTTCCAGAATGGAGTACAGGGAAATAGCTGCATTATAGCTGATGCGGGCTCGAGTTTCAGTGTTGAAAAGACGAACTGAAAGGAATGCTGAATTGGACAACTTATTGGAAGTTAATTTATTGGAATAAACGGATAAGCACATATTTTATGAGTTTGTCGAGATGCATGAACTTAGAATTTTGAGGAATGGGCCTTTGCAACATGAAGGGTGTTTTCTTAGAAGACATATTAGTGTTTCTTTGGTGCTCATATTTTCCTGCTTGTAGTCGGCTCCTTATAAATATGCGCACTTTGTGTTTGTTTATCTTTGCAGGTCCTCTTGTAACACACTGGAACTAGGGTTTGAAGCATTGTTCCGACCCTGGATTAAATATTTCAGGAGCTGTTCTGCTGTTGTCTTCATCAACCTTTCAATCTTAGTAGCAAGCTTCTATTTCTGCTAGATGTATGTTGGACTATTACCTCTATTGCTGCATTGTAGACTTTTTGATAAATTTGTTTGTTTGAAGGATCATTTGAGTTGCCTTTCTTTTTCCTTTTCTTTTTTCCCTTTTCTAGATTTGCATTATTTATTTGTTTAAGCTAGAATCTTTAATGAAGTCGCTAATAAGTTTGAAAATATTGATTTATTAGTTATGTGCCAGTTAGGTTGCCATGGAATGTCTTTTGGTTGAGATCATAAGCACATCATCAGTGTCTGATAAAGTGAAGTCTGGGCACAGAACTTCTTCACCCCTTCCCTTTTTTTTCTGACTGAACCCTGTATGATTTAGGTCGAACTGTCGATATTTACAGTCTTTATTTCATTTTATCACTCTTTAAGGTGAAAACATACAATGTATGTAGTAGGTTGATCATAGGCTCAGCTTTATTTTCCTTTGATGGTGTGGTGGGCCTGTCATCTCCCAAATACATGCAGGTCATACATGGTGTTATTACTGGAGCTTCTGAGGATCCGTGTTGCACAATTGAAATTTACTGATGCAAATAAAGGTATGCAGTCAGTATTATGGGGGCTCATGTATCTAGCTTTCGGTCCATCTTGGAACTTTTTGAGACTTGATTAATTAATTGGGTTGGATATGTTTGGCAGTAATGTAACTTCTGCCATTATGTCATAAAGCCTTGTGCCTTACTCTTTTCCATATCTCTCTTTTTTTTTCTTCTTTTTCCCCCTTTATTTTTTTTTCCCTTTCTTTCCTCCCCAAGGTATTTTCTTGGTTATTGAAGCTACTTTTGAGGTCAAGTGAAACCAGATGTCGCAGAGATGAATGAATAGCTTTACAAGTGCAAAATGTTGAGTATGAGCAGATTGGCTAACTTTAAATATTACGGTGAAATGCAAAGTTGGTTTTTGACAGGTAACCTCTGATTAAACTGTTGGGTTCATTCTGTTTTGTGATAAATTGTTTAGTTATATTTTATTTTCTGGACATACATATTTTGAATATGATGAATACTTCCTATGGTAATTTATTGTTAGCTATTGGTAAAACTTCTCTTCTTGGACAATTGTCTCTTATCCAAAGTAACTGGGTATTCTTATGCTTGCTGGATTGCATTTTGCTTTTTAGTTGAATATAATTGCCATGGGTTTTCTTTTACGACTCTTTTCAGCTTGGTTGTCAAAGACTCATAGTCCACGTTTGGGAAATGATTCCCTGTTTTTAACGCAAAAATTCAGGCCAGTCAGCTATAGCTGTCTGCATTGCACTTTTAGGAACACACTGATTGAAATACAAATACTATATTTTATATTTCTGCCGGTCTCCGACTTGTTTTTACTCATTCTTGCTTGTTTGTTGGTTTTTGAATGCATGTAAACAACACCAGTCAGAGCTTTGAACTTAAGAAAATAATTAGATGCCCCGGCCTGGAGGAGCACCTAATAATTTCTCCTGAACTTTTGTGGACATATCTGATTTACTTATTTCTAACTTTTTTTTTTTTTTTTTTTAAATTTCCACGTGTGGAAATATAGTATTTTTCTTTTTCTTTTTTCTCTTTCCCTTCTCTCCTCCCTGTTTCTTGTTAGGATGGGCATGGATATGATGGAACTTTGTTCTGTATTGTGGATGCGCATGGAGCAAGCATTTTCATTTTATTTTATTTTTTTAAAAAAAAAAAAGAAAAATACAGAATTCTCTACTCTTTGCTCAGCCAGCTGCTTTAAGAAAACGTAATCTTGCTGTGCTATTTAACGATCTTCGCACACAGGCTCTGCCTAGTGTGTTTTTTTAGTGCTTGGAATAGAGTTGGGGACTTGATTGTAACCCTTTGTAGATAAATTAAAATTAAAAGGATTTAGGCTGGCCAGTCTGAATTGTATAATCTTAGGGTGGCAAGCGGGCAAAGTTAAATGTGCTCGATGAAAACTAGTGTTATATTTTTCTACTTGACACGTTTAACTTTCTTTTGGTGCAATGATGTGATAATAGGCTCCTAAATATAAATTAAGAATATGAATCAGCGGTAAGAAGCAAGTGAGAATGATGATATATTTTAATATTATTATATTATGGTTGAAGTGGTAAAACCGTTCAAGTAAATCACCTGGTAAATAATATTTTTTGATTTTCATCTAAAACGTGTATTGTATAGATTGCTTGCCGCCTTTTTGTTTTTCCTTAAATCTTATTGCATACTTCTCCCTCTCTCTGTCTCTATATTTTCTTTTCTAACTTGACACGTTTAACTTTTCTTTTGGTGCAATGATGTAGAAATAGGCTCCTAAATATAAATGAAGAATTGAATCAGCGGTTAAGAAAGCAAGTGAGGAATGGATGATATTATTTTTAATATTATTATTATATTTATGGTTGAGTGGTAAACCGTTCAAGTAAATCCACCTGGTAAATAATATTTTTTTGATTTCATCTAAAACGGTGTATTGTATAGATTTGCTTTGCGCCTTTTTGTTTTTTCCTTAAAAGTCTGATTGCATAACTTCTCCCTCTTCTCTGTCTCTATATATATAATATAATATATATATATATATATATATAATAAATCTTATCTTCTTCAATCTATTTTTTGATCGAGTTAAATTCTTCACTTTGTAATTATTAATTTAAGTGGAACATTTTAATGGTAAAAATTATACTTATTAAATATAAGATTTACACTTTTTTTTTTTAATGTATTGGATAAATATATTTAATGAAGTAAATCAATTGTTATTCAGGAATATAAATCTATTCTTTTCAAATCTATTTTTTGATCGATTAAATTCTTCACTTTGTAAAATTATATTTAGTGAACATTTTAATTGGTAAAATTATACTTATTAAATATAGATTTACACTTTTTAATTATTGGATAATATATTTAATGAGTAAATCAATTGTATTCAGGAAAATGGATAGTTCAAATATTAGTTAGTATAAATTGTGAGTTGCAAATAACCTGAGAATTTGATGGACAATGTGAAGACGGCATTAATAGTAGACCAGAACACAAATATATAAAGAAAATATTTTTAATTAAAGGGACATTAAAAAAAAAAAAATCAATTTGAAGACAAGGAATTTTAATTACAACGAATCATAGATTTAATTAGAAATTCTTGTGTTAGTCGTAACTTTTGGGTGGAAAGTATTATTAAAATGGAGTGCAAACTTGCAATTATGAAAAAATTACATTTCATTTTATATAAAATAAAGAAAAAATTAGTTTTGCTTCTACTTCTTGTAGAAGTAAATTTAATAGTATAAATCATAAATTATTCACCATTTGAAGTAAAATTAGAGAATAAGAAAAAAAAACAAAGATTTATCAGCAATTACGTCAAGGTGAAGTTACTTGTCTAAATCAGGAGCGACGTGCAAAGATAATTAAATTAAATTATCATCTCTTTATTTAATAAGTCCAAACTAATTATCATAATTCAACGTTCAATATGATTAAAATTATCATAACACAAATTGCAAGTGACGAAGAAGTTTCCAACATGATATACTTGTGGGAAATAGGTGACCTCCTAAGGAAGCCAAATAAAAATTTTTTTTATTAAATCGTATATTTTGTACTTAATCATATTGTATTATAGTTTAATTAAGATCACCAACAATATATAGTTTTTTTATTATTTTTCTTTAAACTCTTATGTAAAATATTATTATAAATTTTAATTGTATGCTTTTGTTTTTCTAGGTGTAAACACTTATTAATGTGGTTGAAAAAATAAAATAAAAAGACAAAATATTGAAAAAAATATAAAAGAAAAGCAAAATGGTTAGGCATATAGCAGTCATTTGATGTCATGTCAAATAAAGTAATTGAAATATAAAAAATTGGATTTGAGTTGGTAATTGGTAAGCCCATTGAAGAAATATAATACCGCCGTGGCAGTACAGTAGTGCCGTTTGAGTGAGAGTGTAAGATGACTTTTTAGGGTTACCATATTCTTCGTCTTTGTTCACACACGTGGAGATACCTAATAGGCCTTTATTTATTCATTTTATTTTTTATTGTTTTGAATTTTTTTTTTTTTGAATTTCTTTTATTTAATACTTTGAATACTATTCTTATTTCTAGATGAATGGCTAGTATGCTACTTTAATAAAAGGTTGACATTGGATACTTCATGGCTAGTTTCAATGTTTCAATGATTATCTTGACATTTTTCTAGTACGAAACTAATCTTGTTTTAAAGTTGGTATTGCTGACCCATAAATGCCTTTTTAATATATTACTATGTAATTAAAAATATAATGCATAAATGGATAAAACTTTATCATAGTTAAAATAATTTTTGATAATCAATCACAAAATGATTCTTTTATTTATGTCTTATTCAGAAAAATTAGTTAGTTATCTTAGTAGTTTTCATATGTTTTATTAGTATTTTATTAATATTAAAGGAAATAACGTTTTATTATAATCCGTTTTTTCAACTCGAAACACTAGTAGAAATATTATGCAACCAAAATATAAGTAGTTTATGATGATTTTTTTTTGTCTCATAATACAAATCGTTTTAAGTATTTGAAACAGTAACAAATGATGTTTTTTTGTTATCTTTATTTATATTTGATATAATAATTATCTTCATAATTTTTTTTTTATTTTGAAATAAAGAGTAATTTGATCCTTGATTTATTATAATTTAGGAGAAATGATTGGTTTTTTAATCCCGTGTAAAAATCTTAAATGACTTATATTTTAGAACAGATGGAATATATTGCATGATTATGGTTTTAACGAAGGCCAACTAATTTACGTTGAAAAGAATTAATAAGACAAAAATCTTTGAAAGAAAGGTGATTAATTAATGGTTAGGTAGACAGGACTTGCAGAACGTATTTGGATACCAAATTTGGTCCCAGATCGGTCGCAAAGTGGTATCTAATTATTTAATTTCTGCAATTTATATTATTTGGCAAGCACTTGAATATTCAGTCACAATTAAGCGTTTTTTTTTTTTTTTGGGGGTACTTTAAAGTAGTTGAAATGCAGAAATTGCCTTTGAATTTGTACTGGTAATGGTAAGCCCTTAAAGAAACTCTAATTTTTAATTTGTTAAGTGTGCTTTTAATGGTAAGTAATGCCGTAATGGGCACTCGTAGGCTTATGTTTTCCCTATTTACTTTTATTTTCTATTTTTTAATAAAATTAATGTTGTGATCTACTACGAATATTAGCAACAGATTATAAGAAAATCAACATTTAACAACAGATTTCATTGATAGACAAATTTTATTGGTAGTTACCGATAGATTATAGATAAAATTCAATTCTAAATTAAAAAGATTATATAATTTTAATGACAGATTATTGATTGATTACCAATGGATTATTCATAAATTATTACCGATAGATTTTGCCTATAATTTAAATTTTATCGATAAAAAACGCATTAAATTTGCGTATAGTTTTATCGATTTACTAAAGATAATCGTATTTATTTATATAATTCTTCAGTATTTACCTACATAATTTCTATAGATATTCTTGATGTTTTATAAAAAATTATTGATATTTTATTTGTTCATTTATTTTTAATCACTTAAAATAGAATGAGCGCGTAATTTTTTATAGTACAATTAAAATTTCGAGTACTATTCTAATTTCTAGATGGTTGACATTAGATATTTCGTAACATGCATTGCTTCCTTTAAAGGCCGGCCATGTCGGTGGGTTTAACTTTTGATGTCAATGAATAAGACATGTCAACATGTAATTCACAACAACGTGTTTACTAGACAAATTTTTGGGTAGCTTTATCTCCCGACCACATTGTGTTAATGCTATAGCAAATAAGAGACGATATAAGATTTGAGAGAAAAAAAAAAAATATTAGATTTAAATTAGAAAGGGCAAATAAGTCCATTTGGTGGAGAGACTCGAGTTTATTATTTATATATTTGAGAAAATTACAACAATTTAACTTAATTAACCAAGTGGTGTGTCTTTTTGCATAGCTTAATAGCCACATTGTTTAAATCTTATTAGTCACGTAATCACTTGGTATAAACTATTGATTTGGTAAATTTGATTGCTTTCATCAACCTGCCCAAGTGGATAATATATATATAAAGGTCTTATAATGCTATGGTTTGTGGTTATTTATTCATTTGTTATCTCTCCATAGTATTTAAAATAGCTAGCGGAGAGTTTTTCTAAGTATCCCTTAACTAAGAACAACAAATTTTATTTTATATTATGTTGGAATTTCTCTAAAAACAAGAGTTTGTCAAGTAGTGACACTTCTTTTTTAGAAAAAGAGAAAAAAAAATAATTAATTAAATAGTTATGGAAGATTAGTGATAGCATTGGATTAGAAACTTTAGACGGACTTATTTAAATACCATCTACTGGCTTATTTATGGATCAAATTAATGAAAAATATATATTTTTTAAAAAATAATGATTTTTATAACTATGCATTCAAAAAAAAAAAAATGTAAAGCAGAAATAATTTCAAAAATCTCTATTATAATTAGTTGGGTACATGAATAGATCCATAGACAGATATGTAAGCAAAATTTGTCCTTAAAACTTAGACATTAAGGCATGAGAATGCGATCTTAATTAAAAGTATTGATTGTGTTAATTAAATTGTTATAAAAATCTAATATTTGTTCATTCAGACGCAATTGTAAAATAAAATAAAAATCTAATATTTGTTTACTTTCCCTTTTCGTCTCTCCACCAAAATACAATTCTATTTTCTTTTTTAATTCATCATTTATTATCTAATTTCTTAATATATCCCTATTTAATGTATATCCATATTCCATAATGATATTCATTAATATCTTTGTTCCATAATGTAATACCCCGAATTCTTATTTTCGAAACTTTTGAATTTTTATTAAATCAAAAATCAGAAATTTTAATCATGTGGACTGCAAGTATAAAATAGCCTCAATTCAAGCCCAAGTTTACATTCA